CAGTACTTGCCAACAGTGCGTAAGAGACGTGACTGACCACCCAAGCGGCTAACGAGCCGATCGACAGCGAAGGGGATAAAAGTAAAAAGTAAAGTATCGTGTTAATATCAGCCATACGCCTTCGAAAATTTTGGAAAACAGTTCACACAAGATTTGATCTACGACCCCGCACTTCTTAGTAACATATACATAATTATTGATGACTGTCTTGGGTCTTGAACCAAACAAATATGAACTGTATGACAATGCAAGTACAATTGGTAGGGAGGTGATGCAGGATAACAAACTGTTTTGATTGTTTTATTTAAACAATCTACACTACATTTAATACTCTGTGAATTTCTATGAAATCTTACATAAAAATATGATAACCAATGCTTGTTCGTCACGTACTTTTGACTTTAACTAAAATATTTCATTCATGCTTAGTTTCTCAAACTTGTGGATTTAGTAACAAGTGGTAAGCCTGGCATTACAAATTTTCATAGTCTGTGATTCTTGTTTAATAGTTATTTCAATCACACTATGAAAAATAAAGTTTGGGGAGGGTCACAAGTAAAAGTAATTTTTCGAAGGATATTTGCACGCTATTTAATTTATTATAAATTGTATTTACCGACATATATACAGACAAACGTATGTTAGCCAATCACTGTTACAAATGGACGAGTTCATTGATAAAATTTCACATCCTGCTACAAATGGGTTGCCAAGTACCACCAGCCAGTCACTGGGCATGTAGTAAGTTGATTTATCCCCAAACTCCAACAGTACATCTCTTGGGTAATATTATGGAACGTACTATAGTACTTGACTTACAACTTAGGTTTTAGGATGGCTTACCAATACACAAAAATATCGTACTTACGTTTCATTTCTTGTTCTTTTCACTAGATGAGATCTTTAGTAACTCTGGAGTGGATTTCAGCATATTGTAGAACCCTAGACAAGTTTGATTGAAACTTATCTTAGTTACTGTGCCACCAAGGCTTTGACAATTGGGACTTGTAGATGTGTTTTTTCAGAGGTTCAATCAAAGACAAAAGTCGTGTCCGGATATTAAATATAACTCGTGAAATATTATGAGAGCCCTACCACAAGGCAGAGCGCACCAAAAGTTTAGCCCTTCGGCATATGTTTTCACCAAATTTTACGACACAACTTTTGTCTTTCATTGTACATATCTTGAAATTATGAACCTCATTTGAGCACTAATCTGGCCAGCAAAGATCCCTGCCAAAACATTATCCATTTCTCGCATCAGCAGAAATCCTGCTGCTTGCTGGGCCCTCGGGCCAATGGTCAGCAAAACGGGCAACATGTTTGGAGGAAGGTGCCCAATGTGCTGCCGCCTTTAGCTGGGGTCCTCATACTAATTCAGGCACTAGTTTGTATAATGCTAACAGGTGACGGCGCTGTTTGTTTCACTTTCCTCTCAGCCAATCACTGAGACTGATACATAACTGAGTAGGAGACGTAAACCAATCATCTCATAACAACGAAAGACTGCTTGGATGCACGTGTCAGCATCTCTTTTAACAACATTTATGAAAGAAATAAATTATGGAGTTTTCGCTATTAATAATAAAAAATAATAAAAGTAATAATATACTGTAATATGATTATTATCATTAGTACAGTACATATATTTTGAAGCAAATGTCAATATAATTCTTGACAGTTGATTTTCTTAAGCTTGTAACATCACGAACTACACTCTGGAAACTACCACTTGTGTAAAACCTCTACACTATTAACACAGACGTATGCGTTGGGACCGCATGAGACACCTGTAGTGGATTTCTCCCCTACAAACGCTGTTTGTCGCTGAGTAGCCAACCCCGCCAATTCCCCAGTGTATGCCTCGTGGTCTAGGTCAACCAGCGCCGCCATACATCACGGAGCGGGGGTCAACTACTAAGCCACACCAACCCCCGCTATTTAAGACCTGACCTCGTGGTGATCTCTCTCTTTCTACCTACACCAACCAGCCAGCAACACCTCCTCATCCTCCTCCTCCTGCCTGGCGGTCCTCTCTCCCGCCGGCGAGCATGGCGACCCACAAGCTGTCCTTCTCTGAGTGTCCTCACCAACCAGCTCTCTCTACATCACGCTTGTAACCATGCTGCCTTCCCAGCACCAAGCTGCAATGTACATCCAATACAACATGTATATAGAGAGCACATTGTGAGTTTCCTTTCTCCATTCCATCCTGAGTGTGAACCAAACATCTCATACCCCACACGACCTTGCCACTTGACCAATATCTAGCCAGAGTGAATCCCTACATAGAAATCTGTAGTACCATAGCAGTAGGTGGTCATCAATTAGTAGAGGGTTCAAACAATCCATAAACTTCCTTTCCCTACTGAGTGCATGATCATGAGCTGAAGCAATCATTGGTAATCCTGGAGGAGATGGCTAACACCAGGTGTTGTTCAATTTCGTTAATTTTTCCATAGATGTTCTTATTATAGTAAGTATTTTAAAAGAGGTGACATTTACTAGAATCTAATACTCTGACCTAACCAACCAAAGAATCCTACCTAACCTTACCTAACTTCCTAGCATCGGGAGGGCGGGCCCGCCATATTAAACAGAAAGTACTTATTTTGATATCTGGTACCAATGAAAGCAACTTTCTTGAAGCGTCATTGTGTAATTTTATGTTTTTCGTTGATGTGAGATTACGCTCAGACCTAGTGGGTCGATTGTATACAAACCGAGCAGATGATAACACGCGATGACTAAGGAAATTTTTCAGACAAGTATTACGGTAAATAATTACTGTAATTTCAGCACATACAAAGCACATAGAAACCTCATTTAGTGTCACATGATCAGTTTTTCACCGTACTTTATCCCGCAATTTCCCTCACCCTTCATGCCCTGCCCATTACAGATGATTTATGATCGTAGATATTGAGAAAAAAAAGAGTACATAATTAAAATAAAAAGTTGTTGCCTTTTAAAATACTTATTTCTGTATGAAGACAAGAACACCTGTGGAAAAACAAAACAAAATCGAACAGTTCCTTAGTGTTAACCATCTAATTCAATACTTTGTAAAAATCTGAGCCAAATAAATTTGTCTGTTTTTTGTACAGTACAGTATTACCCAATCATTAGTTCCCTCTTCACTAGTGATACTTAAGTACGTCTGGCAACTGTGTGTGTTTTGGTACAGGTTGTATCTTTTTATATTCGATGTCCACAAAATTACAAAACTCGTTCAGTTCTTCAACTTGAACAGTATACACGTGCAAAAACCATCCCAATAAATTCCATTTCTTGATAATTTCAAGGCTTACAAACATTGGAAATTTACACTATCAGCGGTGGAAAATTGCTAAAATGGCAACTATGGCTGCCAACTCTGTGGCCAATGTGTACACGCACGGTTCCGGTATGGACTGGTTATCAGACAGACTCCACTTACGAAGGTCTACATTCAATACCAAACACTTGTTCAAGAACATAATGTAGAGAAAGGAACTGTGACTCTAGCATCCATTAACCTTACTTAGGTTAGGTTATGATATATTATATTATGCTAGGTTAGGTTGGGTAAATAGATGCTACAGTGTAAACATCCCGTTAGACCAACTCCAACTCGGTAGACCACATACTATAGTAGCACCAAAATTTTTAGTGATTATAATTATCATCATTCTCTCTCTCTCTCCCCAAGCTATTACAGTAAATCACTGAATGCAAGTATATATGTGAAGAGGTTTTCAATTTATCAATATGGCCACTAGATACAGTACAGTATTACATGACTAGGATATACAGCACAACAGTTTCAAGCAACAAATAGGTGCTTGTCTCTCCACATTCGCCTTCCTAGCTGAACGTAAGACTTTAGGGAATTTAAATTTAAGCCTGCCAACGGCTTTCAAGTATTGCCCTTCCTCCTGTTGCACCCTATATATTTGCTGCATGCACAATAAAATCCACTTTTTTATATCTGTTTTTCATCCTTGGAAATTGATAAAATATCAAAGTTTTATCGAGTAGTCTGTAATGTGATATGCATCCAGATATGGTGCATCTATCAGGCATTGCCACAGACCCTCACACCACGAATGCCAACTTCTAACTGAGCACCCCTTGGCTGCCAACCATATGATGTCATGCATGGCAAAGGACAAATTTTTTACTTGAAGTGGGGTGACTTGGTTTAATTAGACAGAGTTTACTTCTCAAGGAATGTGTCAGTGTTAGTGTACATGACTTTCAAGCCAGAATTAGTCTTCAGTAACATCTCTGATCTTGGTAGTACCTCCAGCTCCCTCCATTCTCACTAGCTGCTTATGTATTATAGAAGCTAGATAACCAAAGGGGAGGGGCCAAGGGAAAAAAAAAAAAATGTTGTCATCTTGGATTTTTCACTGAGCCAATACAAGCCAATATGGTGCTATCTCTCCTCTGTACAGCCAGGGACAAGAGTTTGTTCCCTGTGGTGAAAATGAGCCACGGGTTGAATCCCCAAACTGAATTCCCTTGACTGTCATCTGGTGAGGGTGTTGTGATTGATTTCATGTGAGGTCGATACTGTTTCAGTTTGGGAGGGAGCGAACTTTTGACCCCGACTGTACCTCGGGCTAGATCACCCATGATTCACACACGAAGGAATATCCTTCCTTCCTTAGGCTTTAGCAAGCCCCTTTGCATTACAATATTTAATTTATATGTACAGTTGCAGAAATGTGTTCCTACATCCCTTGTGGCAACCTGTACCTCCAAACGGCCAACCTATATGACCTATAGCAAACCTGTCCACCGTTACACGACCAATACCCATTCATTCATAAATAGTGATACGTACTACTACTGCAATGGTGTCGTTTGGAGACATGGGTTACAACAGGGGTGTAGGGACACATTTCCACAACTGTACTCGAGATTTCTGCCAGATGCTTCTGGTAACATTGTACAGGGGTACCTAGTGACAGCACTAGGATCCCATTTCCTACCCTCCCCTGTATTCCACGTACCTTGATTCCTTGGTGGTAAAGCAGGTGGGGTTATATCTGGAGAAAGTAAACCTGAAATAGGAAAAAAATAAAAAAATAAAAAAATAAATAACTACTGCACTAATCCTCTAAATCCCTTCATCCAATTTTGTGTTTACAAATTTCTTACTATGATCATGCGCTTGCATAACACTGAACAATAATATCTAGACACCAGCCACCTTATTTGGTTGTTATTATTCCCTTTCAGTCAGCACAGTGGAATTCCAATTAAATAGGAGTTTAACGTTCTGTTTATTGTTGAAATAAATACTCTAGGTATATAATAAAACAACCAAGTGTAAATTAAAACAAATAAATATAATCCAAGCAGATACAAACCATCTTCGCAAACTATTTCTATGGCAGGGTAAATAGCCAATTATTGATGTTACTGGAAATTAATAAAGTCACTGCTGGAGGCTATCTCATGTCATTATCATCTTCAAACCCTGACAAAACCCATCACTTTCTGTAACCTCAGAAAACCTTACTACCATGGCAACTCTTGGTCAGTTTTGATACAATTTGTAACATAAGTTTATAATGTAGGCTTAGTCAAATGTTGATCAAACCTTTCAGGTTTAATGTAAATTTACAATCCATTTATGGATTAATTTAAACACACACACACATGCACAAAATTCCTCCAAACTTTTACTTTTCTTCAGGAGATAAGAAAAAGTTTTCTTCTATACATAATTTGTTTGTAATGTTGCTCAATATAACAAGCACTATTTTAACCAATTACTACCATACAAATGCTAGTATTATTGTTGCTGTTAGTGGTAGTGCTACTTTTGCAGCAGTGTTAGTGGTGTTTATTGTACAGTATTTTATTGATTTAACAAACTAATTCGAGCCACCCCTTTCCGTTAAATCAAAATTTCCATTATTTTCACTCAATTTAGTTAACTACAGTATACAGTAGTATGCATTTACGCGGATTTTGTTTACGTGTTTGGTCATTTACGCGGCATCTTGCCAGAATGAAAATTTTGAATTACGCGGGCCATTGCATCATTTACGAGGGAAGCGGTGCGGGCAGGGTGCGCATTAGGTCGCTCTTACGTTATCGCTGACGTCATATGACGTATCGGACTGTGACTGGGCCACGCATCCTTACCACCGACTCATTCCCTCCGCCGCTAGCTGTGATTGGTCTAATGTAACATGACGTGCCCTGCCACCAGAAGGTAGAAATCGCTGACCTTGCCGGGCCAGTCTCATTGTTCTCAGTCCACGTATACAGTTCTCTCTTGTGCCTGCTATTCTCCTCACAATGGCTTCCGCTGGACCCCCACCACCCCAGAAAAACCTTGAATTACCTGGACCAAGCCATGGTTATGTGAAGGAAATCATCGAGTTGGGGGAGAAAATTAAGCTCATCCTTGACAAAGACACAGTCAAGCATCAGTATGAAGTGTCTAATAACCTTCTGTCGAAAATTATGGAACCGTATGTCCATATCTATCACGACAACATCAATGCTAGTCATCAACGTAGTATTACGGACTTCTTCGCCCGCAACCCACCACAACCACAGCCAGCTCGAGTCAGTGACAGTGAGGATACGGACTTTGAGGGGTTTGTCAGGGAGGCCCTGCAAACCTCTGCGAGTAGTGAAAGTGATTCACCGGAGGGCAACTAATCTGCCCTCTGCCTCGGAACCAGCCGCCATCCATGTGTGCTGACCCATCTCTTCTACTAATGTAAGTGAAAAATAACAGAAAAAATTCCTTCCACTAAATCAAGGGTTCATTATATCGGATTCCGTTAAATCGAGAGTATACTGTATCGTTCCTGACTATAGTGTTAGTTTTGTAAAGAGAATGTTACAGATGATGGAAAATGTGTTGTTATGGGTAAAGACAGGTAGAAGGAATGAGTGCTTTTACAGATGATATCTGGCACATTATCAAAAAAGAATATGTGCCTCTTCTTCCATCACCCACATCTGCTGATGCAGAACTAGAAATCTGTTGGCACCATATCAAGACATCAAGTTCTCAATTGCCCTTGACTCTATACAAAGCTGTCATCACCATTATGGGACTGTTTCCAATCATCCTCCACACTCTCCTGGCTATGCCAGTTGCCACTGTTGAGCATTCAATCAGCTCTCTTTGCTGCCTGAAGACTTACCTAAATAGTCTGATGACTGACCAACAACTCACCAGCCTCCTGTGGAGTTTGACTCCACAGGACAATGAACATTGTAAGCATTGTTTACGTATATCTATCAATATCATCTGTTTTGTGCTCCTCCAAACACTCACTATGACTGCAACTACTGTACAGCATTAAAACATCAAGCTTGAAAACATAAAATACAGTTTATTAGTCACCAAAATTTTTTAAATATAAATATCTGTACAGTATCCATTTTACAAATTGTAAATGAACATTCTAGATTACTACGAGTCATGAAAAGTAACGTGATAAATATAAATAGAATTAAGTAAAATAGACTACTAATCGATTATTAAGTTGATTAAATGCTTGCATACCTATAGTGCATTTTTCCCAGCTGATAAGATATGCCCCGCCCCCTCCTCAAGAGTTACAGCTGATTGACTATCGTAAATCTGTCCAATTTCGTCCTGAAATAATGACGTCTTTCTAAAAGAGTTTGCTCATAATCGTTGGGATGACCATTTCTGATGAGAAAGATATTTAGCTAAATTATATAAAGATACATTCATTATTTCAAAAATGAACATGTAGGAAGTTTAACAGAAATCTTGTACACGAATTAACTGTTAAACTCTGGTGGCAAATTCATGCTTTTGGAGGACGCATTTAATATACAGCTCCTCCCCGACTTACGACCTGCCTCGGTTGTACCAAAATTTGGTCAAATTACGTATTTTCGAGTCCCAAATTCAGTACACAGACAAAATTTTCGTTTGTAATTCACTTTAAAATGGCTGGCAAGCTTAAAAGTGAGAGTTTTGTGGTGCTGAGAAGAAAATAAGACACCCATTTTAGATTTTCTATGTATTATTTAAGCATTTCCGACTTACAACCTGATGTCGGTCCCTAACCCCGTCGTAAGTCGGGGAGGAGCTGTATACTTATTTTTACCCACAATAAGGTATACTAAGACAAATTAAATATCAGTAGCACTACATTATGCAAAAACTAACATTTTAAACGATCAAAATTAATATGAAATGTTACACCGCTGTCAGCAGAGGCGGGAAATGTGACTGCGAACAACTTCATATTTCTTGCCTCTGCTGATGGTTAGACAGGCCAAGGTCCTCACAGTCTGTCACACTCATCCACCAACTTTCAGAGGTTGTGTAATATTTCAATGTGATTCTGATCTTTTAAATGCTAGTTTTTGCATCATGTTGTACAGGTAGTCTGTGCTTAATGTCGTCCCGCTTAACGTTGTTTCGGTACTACATCGCTAAACTTTAGAGACCAAAAATTCTTTTAACGCCCCGGTGTTCCAATACTACGTCGCTTTGCGTCATCACGGACTACTTTCTATGGCATATCACCCTCTCTTGTCTGGTCCCGCTACGCTCTTTTGGCTCGGTGCAGAGTCTCGGTGACTCACCATGCTCCTCTTCTGCTCCGGCCACACTCCTCCCCTCCCGCCATCCCGTCCCCCGCTTCACTACCCACCACACACTCGCTCTACCACTTCTGCCCATCGGTGAGTACCAATACAAACTTAGTAGTTGTATATGTATGCACTATTTTCTATAGAAATGGCAATGATTTTCTGTATAAGTAATGTATTTCATGGGGCAAAGGGAGGCTCAGGAACGTAACACCCATATTTTATCTATTTCCTATGGGGGAAAATTGATCCGCTTAACGTTGTTTCGATAACGTCGCATTTTTAGGAACGTAATCCAGACGTTAATTGAGGACTCCCAACTGATACATAATTTGTCTTGGTATGCTTTATTATGGGTAAAAAAATAAAATAAAAAATATTAAATGAGTCCTTTGAAAGCATGAATTTGCTACCCGAGTTTAACAGTTAATTCATGTATAAGATTTCTGATAAACTTCCTACGTGCTCATGTTTGAAATAATGAATGTATGTATGTATCTTTATATAATTTAGCTAATTATCTTTCTCGTCAGAAATGGTCATCCCAACGATTATGAACAAATTCATTTTGAAATACTTCATTACTTCAGGACGAAATCGGACAGAATCTCTTCTCAGCTGGGAAAAAACGCACTATAGTACAGTGTAATTCAAATGAGTTGATAAAAGAAGTAAATTTGAAAAACTCGCCCAAAGTATTGTACTACCGGGTATCTATTTCCTAAACTATGATTTGTTTAATTACCATAAGTTAACAGAAAATAGTGCAACTCCTGTATCATATATCAAGATTTATAGTTTTGGTGTTTATGGGGAAAAACCATATAACCCTCAATATATTTTCACGCGTAGATGGTCACGTAGCGAAGCCGAGACTTACCATGTGAGACAGAGTGAGCTGGATGGATCCAAACCTAGCAGATGTACTGACAACATTTATACCTTTTAGATGGTCCAAAGCCTTCAAGCAACCTATTCTTTGTCTACAGTAGTTAATTTTTTCTGTGCATAAGACATAGTAGAAGAATTACCACCAACCAGGCATCAGAAGTTATGATGGTTTAAACAACCCCAGCCCAGCAGTCCAGAATGTACCACCATCATAAATAAGATACGTATCTTTGTTATACTGTATTGTCCGATAGAATTTTAGACTATCTAATACTGATAGAATATTGTCACCGGTGCAAATCTGCAGGGACAATTTAGTTGGGTTATTTGTTTGATCATAACACTAAAAGTACTGTACAGGCATCCTCTGGGTTACAGAAGGGTTCTGTTCCAGAAGATCTTTCCATAACGCGAAATTCTGTTGCAAAAAACCATTTTTCCCATATGCTTCCATTATAAAAGTTGAGATGCACTCCTAAGGAAATTTTTGAGGCCCAAAAATGTGACATAAGCACATATATGTATGAAATTAGACAGGTTTAACCACATACAATGAGTCATTCATTATGTAACATGATAATAAATGAGCAAAACACTTGATTTTCACTTACCAGAAAATAATGATGTTGCAGGAAGTGGTCAGGTTGTGGGACCAGAGTTACCTCCTTAAAACATTAATGTCCAATGCAATTCCTTTATGGATTCTTTTATCACCACTCACCTTGAATAAAGGTACACAGTAACACTGATGCATAAATGAACACAAACTGGGGAAAGAATTCAAACTGAGCAGCGCCATTATTGTTGTGGCTGCTACCAGCTGGTGAAGCATGAGAGCTAAGCCAGAATCCAAATGAAATAAATTTATTTTATTTTTTTAAATAGTTTGTTCTATATGTAGACTTTTTCTTTTGAAAATCATAAAAAATTAACCAAAATTCCATAATGGCGAATAAAGTCCCAAACACAGACGTATAACTGAACACAAAGTGGGGAAGTATTCTAACTGAGCAGCTCCATTGCTGTGGTAAATGCTGACAATCACCTTGTGGCCACCACAGATGCATCCACACTAAATATTTTTTACTATTTCTGTAAAAATTTCAATTTTTTATTTGTAAAAAATTTCCAAAATTAACCTGAAGTTATGGTCTGATTTTAAAAAATTTGTAAGGGCAAAATTAAATAATCATAAATTTCGTAACCCGGGGGATGTCTATAGTACTGTACTACTAAAATAGCATCCTTGAGGTACAACATAAGAGAAATAAGGCTACATTCAACATCTTCGGCTGTCCAGTAACGGTTAATAACAGTTAAATTCTATTAGTACAGTACACATTTTACTTGGTTATACTAAAGTATTCATTGAATTAGTGCATACACTTACCTCTTTTAATAATTACAGTATAGTCTGGATTTACGCAGATTTTGTTTACGTGCTTGGTCATTTACGCGGTGCTTTGCCAGAATGAAATGCTTTAATTATGCTGTAAATTTGGTCATTTATGCGGGAAGCGGTGCGGACAGGGTGCGCACAAGGTCGCCCAGTCATCAGAACATTACTTTCAAGGTACAGTTATTTTTGTTATGTGCTTGTCAATTATTTAGTTTTGTCGAGTATCTGTTATAGAAATTATATAATTATATTCTACAATTAAAAACACAAAAGATGTCCAGTAATAACTTACCTGAAGAATTAGGAGCATTATTCTCAGTGCTCTGCAAATAAGAAGTAAATAAAAAAATTAGTTATATAATAAAATTAATTCACTTTCTTTCAATTCCTTCACTGCCGTGAAGCAGGATTGCTGGAATGAAGAGCAAATACAGTACTCTACACATACAGTCTATCTTTCTATTTACCATAATTTAGGCATTAAATCTCACTGCTATAATAGGTATGTTCTACAATGGTATATCCATCTGGTTGATTACAAATGATTCTCACAACCTAGAATCAGTAGTATGGTCATTTCCAAAATTCACTTGATGCCATGCTCCTCATTAATTCATGCACATTTGTGCTTCCTCATTTTTAACACACATCATTCTATCTCTTGCTTGATCTTCCCTTCTTATTTGTTACTATCCAATTTTAAATTGTTTTCATTTTACTGACCAATCCCTGTCCATTCTCTCAATACCTGTATGTATGTCCATAAACCCAAGCAAACTCTTATCCACTATCTGTTTAACACTTCTTTCACTTACACTTCTCCCAATTACTGTATCTCCTATTTTTTTCATCCAATTCACCACATATGGTAATCTCACATGTAAGTTTTGTAGCTTCTAATGTAATGGGAGAGTGATAAGATAATCGTACAAAGTAGAAGAGCGTTTCATATGGTATACAGTAAACCCTTGATATTCACGGGGTTAGGTTCCAAGGAATGGCGTGAATAGGCAAAACCGCGAATAGCAACTTATACTACCTTAGTACACTGCTGTACACCTATACCAAACAACCCCCTCTTTTAACTTATCTAATAATTCAACTTTCTTTGTCAGGTTCATCATTGACTTCTGCCTTTTACATTTCACTCCACTAGCGTCACTAGCACTGGCACTTTGGGCCATAACACACAGAAATACTAATGTTTTGAGAGTACAACACAAAATGCTGTGTGGGGTGACTCTTTGTGCTGTGGGAAAGGGCTTGCAAGCTAGCCGCCATCTGCTTACCGCGAATAGTCAAAATCGCGAATCGCAAACCCGCGAATGGCAAGGGTCTAGTGCAGTGCTTTTCAACCGGGGTGACTAGTCACCCTGGGGTGACCCAGGCTAGGTCCAGGAGTGACCCAGGGGTGACCTGGTAGGCTGGGGTGACCCAGGGGTGATCCAAGTGGCTGGGGTGACTATTAGGGGTGATCTGGCTGTATATATAAGTCTGGAACAATACATATCCTATCACAATATAAGCTTTGACTGAGTAACTCCTGTTAGAATGGTTAGATTAAGATAACAGCTTACATTGCTGTGATCTATGTATGGTAAAATCGACACAAAACAAAAGGTTTACTTTGACAATGAAAATGCACAAATACAACTGTGAGCAGCGAGAGAACGAGGTGCGTGTCTCCTAGTAGTTGTCTTCCCTGCGTCACGTCCACCGCCGCCGCTTCAGGGATGCCAGCTATATATATATATATATATATATATATATATATATATATATATATATATATATATATATATATATATATATATATATATATATATATATATATATATATATATATATATATATATATATATATATATATATATATATATATATATATATATATATATATATATATATATATATATATATATATATATATATATATATATTTTTTTTTTTTTTTTTTCAAAACATTTTGGTGGTGGAACCTGGCAATGATCTAGGAACACTGGCATTTCCTGCCACAGCTTATGTGTAACATGTTATGGTGCGCCTCGTAATGGGGTGACCCAGTTCGTGGAAGAGCTTCTCACGGGTGACCCACCATGAAAAATGTTGAAAAGCACTGGTCTAGTGCACATTATTACTGTACTATAATGTACCTGTTAATAAAAAACAAATTAGAAGAACAAAATACATGTTACTAAAGTACTGTACATTAATTATTAACTTATCACTGCCTCCTCAGAGGCAGCTGTTAAGTTACCCTCCTGGGGCACCACAGTGGTAGCCCCTGCTTACACCAACTTTACCCCATACTAACCGGATTTTGGTTGTGTTTTTCTGAGTTAGGGATACATGGGACTGGTGCTAGACCCCACACCGGTTTGCAAGTGGATCCGGATTAAGCAAGTCCGGTTTATAAGGAGTTTACTGAACTGTGCGTGTACAGTAGTGTTTGCATAAATAAATACTGCTCTGTGGCTGTCCGACTGTAGTTAGGTTTCTGTAGACATGGTGCTCCATGCCAGGTGCACAGTTGGAATGCAGAGACATTCACCATTGCCCAGAAAAATTTCGTAGAAGTGATTTTTTCCGGGATAAGAAAATTCGTCTCAATACCCAGAAATGCTCTGCACCAATAATTCCGGCTAACAAGGAGATTACTGTATATATAGATAAGGATCATTTGTAAAAATAATAATAAATACAGTACATCCAAGATACCGGTAGCTATTTATTTGCTACAATTACAGAACATAAAGTTAAAATAACAATGCCTATGCCTATATGATGATGAACCATGCAGTTCCATATTGTTCAAATTCACAGAACATCAAGGTGTGAAGCAAGAGCCATGAAATATTAATGGTACAGTCATCCCTTGGTTATAGCGCACTTGGTTATCTCGATTTTCGTTATCATGCCTCCATCAAAATCTGCACACCTGCTGTTATAGCGCATTTTTCAGTCCGAGAATTTAGTTATCACGCAGTTGCCTCCAGGTGTATTGTTACCCCTTTGCTTCACCTACATCTATTGAGGATAAAATCTTTCACCTACAAATTGACAATAACACATTTGCTGTAATCAGACATATCTAAGTTGCCTCAACAATTGCAACCCCAGTTGCAATTTCAAATTCTGTGTCATTACTAAGGAATAACGAAGTGTCGGATGCACTCTAAGATTGAGAGAAAACGGAGGACTCAGGCGTCCTGAAGTGATGAGAAAACGGACTACTCAGACAGGAGACTCAAATAAAGAAAGCATAGCTACATGCTTTGTGGACTACAGAATTGAGCATACCCTTTCCATCACTTTGTAATAAACCTAGCCATGCCTATGTGTGTTTCTGATACTCACCATAACATTATCTATATCAAGGGTTCTCAACCAGGGGGGAATTTCCCCCCTCAGGTTTTCAGTGGGGGGGGGAACTGATACTAATATGGAAAAAATAAAGGATTTTCAGTATTATATGCATATTATTTGGAATGCACTTTTTGAGGCAGACAATCTTGGAAAGGAGGGGGGAATGACATTCTGACATATGGTGAAAGGGGTGCATGGGGCAAACAAGGTTGAGAACCACTGATCTATATCTTTAGTGGGTCTAAATGGTCGTAAAATGGGAAAATTGGGGTTGGGTCTTGGGTGCCTGGAACCAATTAGAATAAATCCCATAGGTTCTGTACTTTCGTTATCGCATTTTTCGTTATCACGCACTCGGCGCGGTCCCAATTAGGCGTGATAACCAAGGGATGACTGTAATTGATTATATCTATGAAAAATATCATTACAATACTTACAGTGTATGATCTTACTGGAACACCAACAATCTCATATTCATGATCTGTCTTCTCCTGGAATGCAAATTTAAAAAATGTTAAGGAGTATATAAATTTCCCATATCTCTTAACTGTCTATACCACAAAAGAAGTTTCTGAGATGCTCTTAACAGTGTTGGACACATATCTCTAACAATTCTATATACAGTACAGTACAGGTTGTACCTCTCTAGTCCGGCATTCTGTGGTTCGGAAACTCCCGTGGTCCGGAACGATTTTAGTTTGCCCATGGAGAAAATTAATTTGAGTCTGGTACTTTTGATGTTTGGCTAAATCTTGCCTTATTTACCCTACTTTTTGGGTGAATTACTACCTCTAATAAAGCAATATCCTAATAAACCAAAGAAAATAACACAGATAAAGTTAAATAAAAACTAAAAACAACACAGAAAAAGTTTTTATGTTCTACAGCTTCAACTAGAGTTGAACCTGATGACCTGGCAACTTCGTCATCCGAGTAAAAACGCACACAACAACATTGGCTGTCCTTATGTTCTCAACTTTACCACCACTGGTGGGTAGAATTTATGTTTTAAATTCAGAAACATGAATTAAAATATATATGAACAGTAAATAAGTGCTGCTTTCATATTCTTATGTAGAGTAATGACGATATGTTTTCACATGTGCGCACTTACATACGTGCAGTCTCACTTTTTTCTTTACCATTATGGTTAGTTATGTATATTGTTCCATTTATTAACATTAAATCACATTACTTCAAATAACCATATTAATTTTTTTTACATTAATTTTACTACAGCTACAATCAGGGTCTTATTTTCTTCAGTTTTATATGTAGAACCAGTCAGTCACTGGTTTTGTAAACAACGAAAACAATGCTGTCTCGTCTCCTCGTGTTTTTTAATATTCTACGTATTATTAATGAATTGTATTGTTCATTTTGCACACAAACATTAATTCAATTAAAAAGACATTCAGTAATAAACAATACGGTAATAAGTCTTTTGTACATAAGAGAAATGACGCTGTTTACACGATTATGCACGTCCGAACGTTGGCGGGCTGTGCAAACTGGTCGAAATTCGAGTTTTCGCCGTCAAAATGTTAAATTGTGTAGTGTTTTTTTTTTTGTGTCCAAATAAAAAACATTGAATTAAAAACTCGCAAAATTTGAGAACCTACTGTACAACATTTAACCCTTCAACATGTTTTTAAAGAGACCACGAAGCAGTGAAAGTGGTGCTAGTGCTTCCAAGCATAAGCACAAGTCACTATCTATCCAGGAAAAGGGTGAATTTCCATGGTCCGACACAGGTCAGGTCCCAAGGTTGCCGGACTAGAGAGGTACAACCTGTATCTATAGTTTTAGATCTTTTTTCTAGTACAGTAGACCGCCAACAGAGAATGATCCTACATCGAGCGATCCGATACAGTGTTGGTTTGTAATTCAGACAAAAAAGGATTTGATAATGAGTCACCTATTAACAGAGTTGCAAAGAGTAACAGATTTTGATACTTAAGTAAAAGTATTGTTACATTGGCAAAATATTACTCAAATAGAAGTAAAAGTATCAAAAGTTCAATGTACTCAAGTAGAAGTAAAAAAGTATCTCATTCATAAAGTACTCAAGTACTGAAAATAACAAGTAACAAAAAAATTAATAATTGTCTCAAATATCAAAATAAATCCACAATAAATTAAAAAAAAAATAGTTAACTAAAGATAAAAATAAAAGAGACACAGCATTTCACATGTTCAATTGCAAATCTTTCTGTAGATTAATCAATAACTGATTATCGAAATTATGGCTGTCCAATCAGGATCTCTTGGCCTAAATATAAGCCCTGCATGACCTACCAAAAGAGATATGTTCATCCACTCTCCTCCCTACAGTCACAGGGATAGTGAACGGACTGAAAATATATCCATCCAACACTATGATCACTTTGTTCCTTATCTACAAAAGTGTAGACGACTTGGATTTATGGTCCACAGACATAATGTTGTCTCTGCTCGCATTACGTGAGGCTACAGACCTATCTGGCAAGTATCTGAGGCGGTGGATGACCTGCACTTCTCTTCTTGTAGACTCTGTAACTGTCCCAATGCTAAAATCCTTCAACAATATTGCCCTGACTGTTCCACTGCCAGGGACCTCCTACCACAGGACGAGTCACTAACCACTATATATCACCACCTACTTATTCGTAATAATTTAGATTCAATTCTTTTATGCTACCCATGATTTAGTGGGTGCTAACTCCCATTGTCCTTAAATCATATCAATATTGTCTCCACACAAATACTAATGTATTAACGTTTGACCGCATTGTATTACAACTAAGCTTGTCAACTCCTGGGTGTAATAAATTAACTAAATAATAAATAATAAGCCCAGCATGACTAAGCAGCTGCTCACAGGCAGCAGATGCAGGTAGTGGGGTGTTAAACTTCAGAGATAACTCACATAATGTCAGAAAAGACCTCAGTAGCTCCATTCCATCCCTTGGGAATGCCAAAGCATGTCGAAACATTCTCGTAAGAATTTCGTGAACCGAATTTTTGTTCGTTAACCGAAATGAAGATTCTTATGGAAAGTAATTCATCAACAGAGGGACCACTGTGTGTGTGTGCGTGTATATATATATATATATATATATATATATATATATATATATATATATATATATATATATATATATATATATATATATATATATATATATATATATATATATATATATATATGCAAGTAAATCACTGTAGGTGCACGTGATCTAGGTATATGCTGATAACCACCCCTGAAGATGTGAATTACACGAAAGCACTTGGGAACTTCGTGTTTTCTTCTTTCCTTGTGGTTATCAGCGCGCACGCACGCACACACACACACACACACAGTAATACAGTAGGCTCTCGCCAATAACGACTTCCACAATAACGTTTTCAACAATAACGTTAAGTTACAATAGATACCCATTTTCGATAATAACGTCTGGATTTTCTTGAATAACGGAGATTTTGCGGGAAGCATTTGAGCGCATCAATGTTAGCGTTTGCTTGCCGCCATGTTGATGGCGTAGTTGTCCGCTCCGCCTAACTCTCACTCTCACACACGCTCCGTGTAATACAGCGCTGCGCCCCATGTGAGATTTTCGCCTCTATAATCAGTGGTTACTAGGGTCGATGATCAATAATGGCTTCCGCATTTTTGCCTGTGGGGGTTAGGGGAGGTGGTGGAGGGAGTGATTTGCCGCCTGAACGCCCGGGAACTTTTAAAGTGAATGAGAAAAAAGACCCCAAAGCTAAGAGACAAAGCCACAAGAAGCATGCCTACTCGGTCAAGGATAAAGAACAGATTGTTGAGCTCATTGAAAGTGGTGCACGGAACATTGATATTGTGAGAAAATTGAACTGTCCTGAGTCTACAGTGCGAAATATTAAGAGGAACTTAGAAGAGGCCAAGAAGAGTATTGCGCTGGCTAAGAAATATTTCGGTAGTGATGGAAATGCGAGGCGAGCTATGAATGATAAAAGTGATAGAAACAGGTTATTAGTGATAACAGAGCATTTTCTTGTGAAATGGTTAGCTTGTCAAATGAAAGACAGTGCAAGTCTTAGCGGCCGTCAGAAACTCCCCCAAGTAAAGTGTTATATTACTCAAACTCTTTATTTTGATGATTGAATCACAATTCTTTTTATTTCAGCTAACAAAAAGTGTTAGGAGGGTTTCTAAGGGGAAAAATTGGGTGAAATTCTTGGGGCGGCGGCACCAATAAACCCTTTTTACATGTATTTTAATGTCACACAAATAACGTTTTCGCTAATAACGGCGTTTTTCAGGCACCTATTAAACATTATTGGCGAGAGCCTACTGTACCCCGATTTACGCGGTCAATTGAACCCACAGAGGTCCGTGGAAAATGAGAAACGCGTAAATGTTATAACAGAACATATGGGATTAATTGAAATAGAGACTGGGCCAACTCCCAAACTCCACTTTTTCCGACACAATACCTATGTTGTAGTAAAAATAAAATCTTAATTTTATGATGGTATGCACACACAATTAATATTTAAGAGAAATACAGTCGCCAACTTACTCTTTTTGTGATTAAATTAAAACATTATTCAGGAACAAGTTTACTCTTTAATTTTTTTACATAATAATGTCTTAAACTGTTTGCTATTGGCAAATATTCACTTGAAATTCTAAGTGATTCCTTCTTATGTTAAAAAACAGATTTTCTGAGAAGTAGAATGATCCAAGTGATATAGCTGTTAATAAAATCATACGGCGCAATTACATACAAATACCTGTACGTAAATCAGAAGGTTATGAAAATTATCATAACATTCAAAACTAAGATTACTCACCGGAGCATATGGAGCCGACTGTGAGGTTGGGTTTAACTTTGGCTGCACTTCCCTTAACTGTAGATGACAAGGTCTGGGAGCATTATTTCCCTCCAGAGATTTATTGGCAGACACTGGTGGATGGTATAGAGGGTAAACTCCCTTCCCTCCTTGTCCACCAGTATCGCTAGGACTCACAGGCCGGCTGCTGAAATATCAAGGCAATTATTAACTGAACCATTCTTTATAAACCTTCTGTATTAAAATATTAAATATTTTATAAAATAAAAGCAAAGACAGCTGGCCGCGTGGTGTTGGTGGCGCCACTGGCAGTTCGTTTACATCAGCTGATGCAAATGGTGGATCGTAAGCCAGGTGTACCATAATGTTCTACTATCATACTGTATATAGCGGTACTATCAAGGTGCGATACTGGTATGCTGTGGAGGTGTTGATTATGGCTTGGTGTTTACCAGAGTTCTTACGAAGATAACTTACTGAAGATTTTTAGTGGTTGCTTGCTGTCCTACGTAGATCCTGTTGCCAACTTCCCTTTTTGTATGAACTATATCATATATATATAAAATATTTAATGGTATTATGATAAGTGTCTTGATGAAAGTGGCGTGGCCTTATTACACACTTTCGCCATAGGCTATATCCACATTTCAGTTCTAGCCTAGCCTATCTTTGGGCCTTGGGGGGTCGACTTATACGGCGAGTATAGGCCTAATCCTGAATTTTGAACTAAAATCTTGAGGTCGACTTATACGCCGGAACTTACGGTATGTGATACAAATATATATAATAACCAGGTGGGGAGAAGCTCATACTACAGGGCATTTCAACAGTGACAGTGCAAAAAGGTAAGAGTGACAGAGTGAATACACTGGCTAATTACAAGGTGTTGATAATTTTTACAATGGTTGGGACTGGGCTGTTCTTACAGCGATCAGTACGCACTCGTATGGGCTGGATGAAGTTGTGGTGCCGAACAGCAATTTGCGGACGAGGGATCTCAAGTGGTAGTAGGAGCCGGTGTCGAGGATGGTGCAGAAGCTTCTCACCAAATTTGCAGATGAGGTCGTGGTGATGGTCAGAGAGAACCGAGAGGGTCAGTGTGTTGAGCGCTTCTTGATATGTGGAGTAGGAAGGAGAGAATAATCTTGCATGCTCTTCTTTTGCACTTTTTATAGGTGTTTATGTTGTGTGGCATTTAGGGAGGAAGACCAGGCAGGGGAAGCATAGGTGAGCTTGGGAACAATAAATGTAGAGTAAATACTAAGGAGCTCAGGCGCAGGAACTCCGAGGGACTTGAGTCGGCGGAGGTGGTGGATACAAAAACTGGAAGATTTGACAACGTCACTGACGTGTTTTCCAATTTAGTTTATCTATAGTGACGCCGAGGAGCTTAGTGGAGTCCACAACCTGGAGTGTGTTGGGGCCCAAAGTAATGAAGGGAGGTGGGACAAGGTCAGAGAGAGGTTGAAATGCATAACCATGGTCTTGGTATGATTGACGGTGACATGGTTGTTGGTGGCCCAATTTTGGAGACTGTTCAATAAATCCTAGAGGGCAGTGTAGTCAGGAACCGAGTTGTTGACACTGATCCCAATGGTGGAGTCGTTGACAAATAAACAAAAAAATGTATATTCCCTTTATATGTTTGCCCATAGGACAATTATTTCTTTTACCTGTTGTATGTGTGTAGACACACACACACAAAACACATACAAATAAATAATAATTGGAAAATCCTCTCTATTACAGTACTTTATTAAGAGCATGGACTTGAGGGTACACTGTCACATTTTTAATAAATTTGTTTCTGATTATTTGTCAGAGGATTTTCCAGTTATTATTTATTTGTATGGGTTTTGTGTGTGTGTGTCTATGTACACACACACACACATACATTAAGTCCTCGCATAACATCGGCCCACTTAACGTTGTTTCTGTACTACGTCGCTTATCTTTACATACCAAATATTCGTTTAATGCCCCAATGACTCGGTACAATGTCGTTTTGCGTCGTCACGGATTACTTTTTATGGCGAATCACCCTCTCTCGTCTGGCCCCGCTACGCTCTTCGGCTCGGCAGTCTCTCAGTGACTCACCACCCTCCTCCTCCTCCTCTGCTCCGGCCACACTCCTCCCCTCCCGCCATCCCCATCCCCCGCTTCACTACCCACCACACACTCGCTCTACCACTTCTGCCCATCGGTGAGTACCAATACAAACTTAGTAGTTGTACATGTATGCACTATTTTCTATAGAAATGGCAATGATTTTCTGTATAAGTAATGTATTTCATGGGGCAAAGGGAGGCTCAGGAACGTAACACCCATATTTTATCTATTTCTTATGGGGAAAATTGATCCACTAAACGTTGTTTCGTATAACGTCGCGTTTTTGGGAACGTAACCCCGGCATTAAGAGAGGACTTACTTTACAGGTATTTACAAATTGTTCCGGTTAATGGGGATATCACTGTAAAAGGATGCTTTCGACCAGATTATTAATTCATTCTTATTATATTCTACTATGATCAGCCTAAAATGGCATATGATTCATCTTGAAATAATATAAAATCTTTAGTAGCAGAAAAAAATATATAATTTGCATTTTGGCGAGAAAAAATAAATAAATATGTTACATCGAAGGTGACGTCTCACTTTCGTCTCTCCCTCCTCCCTCCCATAAAAATCATAATGAGAGAAGCCATTTATTATGTAACCATATAGAACAGGTTTATGGGCACATGTTGGCAGGCCCACTGAATCTAAACATTTTCCGTTAGCCCACAGAAATTTCCAGGAGCCTGGAAATGTTTACGAGATGTGTGGAGATATCTTTTAAAACTTTTAATGGCAGAAACAGTGGCCAAAGCATCGGCCAGCCCATTTTCTGCAAAACAACCCTCACATACAGTATAAGAGAGATCCTCTGGAATGAAAAGTCTCTTCACTTATATCACTCATAATCTAAGGGTGTACAGTGCAGTAATATTGTTCATTAACAAGCTTGTTAATTGTGACAACAACAAGTGCAAACTCTTTCAGGTCCAGATTTAAAAAAAAAAGCACTGATGCACATTCGAACACTTGTCACACCATGAAACCATTCAATTGGTTAGTAATAAGATTAGTAGTGCAGGGGCTTGACTAATTAAGTGAAATGAATAAAGCACTAACTTATGTGGGCTGGTGGTGTTGTGGGATCCAGGAGGCGGCAACATAAATGAACGATTTGGATTCCCACCAGATCCTGTCTCCTGTGATGGTGTCTGCTGCAGTTTTGGCTGGAGGGAAAAATATGCTGCATTACCATTTTGAAATCGTTTAACAATGTAGATCTTTCCAAACATCATTATTATATTTCTACATTTTGAACAGTCACAGACAATCTACAGCAATATTAACAAGATCTGCTCAAGTGATAATTTAAGCAATAACTCTCAAATCCCTTGGGCTAATAACACACCCAACCGACCCTAACACAAAATCACAACAGCACTTCAAATTTATGGAAAGTTACCAAATATAAAAACAAATTTGTCATGAAAGAATGAATGGACAAACAGACATTACCACTGCTAAATCCAATTTTTCTTTTTAAAGTGAGAAGGTTAAGACATTTACTGTACTGTACAATCATACACTCTGGGTATAGGGGTGTTCATTATACTTCAGGGATGTGTTCCCCAAAAAATGCAACATATAGTGTAACAATTATAATGAGGAATTTTCCGAATAAGAATGAATGTAATTAGAAGTACAGTATATGCACCTAAATCTGGTACAGAGGTAAAATACTGTACTTAAAAAAATGTTTAAATTTTGCTGGGGACATAAAATGGAAAAGTACCATTATTTTTGTTGTTGTTTTTTTCCCTGGGAGAAGGTCCCTTATATTTCGTAAAATTTCATAATTTGCAAGAGCTAGAACACCTATTATTTCAAATTATGGAGGTTTTAGGGTTTTACACGTTCCAGCTAAGGATGTGTTCCTAGAGAGAGAGTTTCAGCAAATCAGCTTACAACAGGGTCATTATAACATACTGTTACAATAAAACCACCGATTAATAAATAAACCAGGGTATATAAAGGTGCATAATACACTACAATATTATTTATTAAGTGCTGAAGACAGATGTGGTAAGTATGACAATATGGTGAGGGATGGTTGTGGGTGATCAGTAGTTTGCGCTGCCGCTATGTAAACAAAGGCGCTGAAAATTTAATATGATGCAATAATCACATCTAGGGTTAAGCGTGGGATTGTTTTTCTCATGGAAATTCATTATTTTACAATAATGTTTCATTAACCCGGGACCAAATGAACCTAATACAGCTCCTCCCCGACTTACGATGGGGTCAGGGACCCAAATCCAGGTCGTAAGTCGAAAATGCTTAAATAATACATAGAAAATCTAAAATGGGTGTCTCTTTTTCTTCTTGGCTTGCCAGCCATTTTAAAGTGAATTACAAACGTAATTTGAAAATTTTTTTGTACGACTGAGGCAGGTCGTAAGTGCGGGTGGTCGCAAGTCGAGTAGGTAGTAAGTCGGGGAGGAGCTGTAAATGAAAATTATGGTGATATTGCATGAGCACGTGTTAAAGGGCTTGTGGGCTAATGAGTGCAAGAGGCGAGTTGTCCTCTCAGTCCAGCTAGGACTCCATCCCTACTCCTCTGCCACCAGCAACCTCCTCTCCCTAGCTATACACTCTGATGTAGTTTTGTAGTTTTTTCACTCCATTTCTTTACATGCAATCCTTCCATTGTATAAGACCTGATTAAGGTTTTCTAAACTTAAATTTTTTGGTGTTGGAACATTTGTGTGATTTAAATGTCTACAGTGAGGTACTGTACAGTAGGGCGGAGAATCATGGTGTGTTGCCAGACCGCCTCCCACTTTCAGATACACTCCATCTCCTACACAGAATATACCCTTACTCTCTTAATTTTTCTTTTATATTTTTATATTACTGTATTGTACATATACTGTATAGTATTCTCTTTATTCATAAGGCACACTAGCACATTGAGATGACTTTCTGCAAATTCTGTGGTTATTTACATATAACAATGGTATACAGTAGCTCGCAGTTGTATGGGACATGATTGATGTATTTTGGTGTGGTAGAAACTTAACACTTGTACAATACAGCATTTTTATTACTTATAAAAATTAGTTTTACATATTAGATGTTTTTAACACAATTTATGCATAATATAAAACAGTGGATGATGTTGACAACGTATATGTGAAATAAATGAAGTATAATGGAATTTTCTTTATGTATTTGTTAGCAATGTATATGTGAAATGACGTATATTGGCACAATGTATAATGAAGATTCCCTTAAAGCATAAATAAAATAAGTACAGCCAATTTGTTCAAATAACACAAATATTTTGAAGAAAAAACATTATACCTCTGGAAGTACAGTATATAACAAGATAAACTAAAAATGTTGGAAAGCAGAAGAGAGGAAAGTAGAATACAGAAGATGAAAGATAACCATAGAAATGGAAAAGCATAACTCGGTATAATACAGTAATCTCCACGTCAGCTGGAATCCCCAATATCCTGGAACTCTCCAATAGCCAGAATGGAAATTGGGTCACAAAAATTCCAGGAAAACTATTCCCATCCCGGGTCTTCAAACGAGTTTCCGAGGATGAAAATCAAATTTATTATCCAGAAAAATTCCGTGAAAATCTCTCCAAATCTCTCTGTTCTGGGCCTGCCAATAAATTTTCCACGAGTCCTGAGAGATATCATAATGCTCCAATACATCTCCATATGTCAGGCGCATGGGTGGCCGAGCTGCTTGGATCCCTTAGTTCATATTCTGCTGCCATTGTAAAAGGTTGTTCCCTCACTAGCTGCTGTTTGTGTATACAAATTGTGTTGTGCAGTACTGTACAGTCCTCCCCCAAAAGTATCATTAACCAAGAGGTCGATGTGGTTCGAGGCTATCTAAACAATGTTACTCGACAGGGTCTCTGAACAGTTAGCAGTTCTAGATCCGCAACCTTTTGACATGGATGAACACTGATTATATGCTTTTGAACTATACATACAGTAAAGTATCTTAATGGATTTATTGTTATACAGTACAGTATTGAATATTGAAGTATGTAGTATGCCATACAAGGGCGACTCCCTCCCCCAATCCTATCCCTATCTGTTGCTGATATGGCGAGCAGGCATACCAACTATGATGATGCAATGAGGATCATATTAAAACTTTTCATTTAGCATTTCAAATTGTAGCAACAGAAATTCTAACGATACTCTTCGGGGGAGACTGTACATTACTGTACCAGGACACAATCAGCCAAGAATACAGTGTTCAGACATAAGAAGTGATACAGTTATTTATACTGTACATTCAGTAAGAGGGAAATACTGGAAAATGTGTAAATTTAGTCTTTATTCATGATATCTTCAGGTCACGAGATCCACTAATCACCCACCCAACATAAGGTGACCTGACACTTCATCAGATCAGTGATATGAGACCACTAATCCCCCACCCTACTTCCACTGCAAATGAGAGAAGTTTATATACAAAGGGTTGACCTGACATTGCATCAGGTCAGGTCAGTAACATGAGACCCATCAAAACCCCTACCCCACCTCCATTGCAAGTGTTAAGATGTAAAAAGTGATTACAGTTACCTATTACATTCAACAGAGTGTCTGCCTATAGCATCTGCTGGCGAGTACAGTACAGTGGGGTCTCATTTTACGACAGTCTTGCATGCATGGCTATCATCATGGGTAGCGATATAGCATTACTTTAGTGATCTTTTGTTTATTTAGGTTAATTCAACAAATAAGGGGCTCAGGGTCACCCAAAATACAGGTGCAAAAAATTAAAAATAAAATTTTTGTTGCATGAACAGCATCAAGTAATTATGCCCAAACACAATGGTGTAAAACAAATTATGATAAAACACCTCTTTGATACAAGAATTAACTTTAAACAATGAGAATGTTTTAGATATCCATGAACAGACCCACACCTTAATAGGTCCAATTTTTAATGGACATACAGTATAAAGAAATTATTACGGTACTCTGAGCATAAATAGCTAATTATTAACTAAGCTGAAATTTGAGTACAGTACAGTACAGTACCTTTGGCAGAACAAGATGTCGAGTAGCATTATTTCCTTCAAGAGATTTAGAGACAGACAGAGTCGAGTGCAGGAAGCTGCCTTTCCTTCCTTGTCCACCACTATCATTTGGACTCACAGGTCGACTGCTGAGATATAAACATATTGTTATCCATATATTATGCATATAAAAATTCCATCTTTTAGCAAAAATTATATCATTCACAAAATATGAAGACTGTGAAAGACCAAAAATGTCTTCATTTGTACAGTAATTATATGTTAAGAAAATTATAAGAAGCACATGGGAGTGTGTCCAAATGATTCACATTCAAAATCATGTAAGAAGCAAAGTAAAATCCTACACATCACAGGTACACCCCAATTTATGATAAAAAAACCTACAGCATATGTTTTTTCTTATTTAATGATTATAAATAATTTAAACCTTAATTTCTATTCAAGACTTTTTTTCTATAGCATGTTTTAATTTACATATAAAGTTTTTGGGTGACAATAAACATGACATATGTTCCGTGCAAAATCACTGGTTATAGCATGTCATAACAAAATCGTTAACAAATCAACTATATCTTTCAAATCCAGCTCCACATTTTCACTAAACTCTCCAACAATTTCTTGCAGTTTTTTAAACAATGCCTCTTGTGGAAAAGTTTCTGCAAGGCCATCACTTTAGATGTTTGAGGTGATAAAGTACTGTACACCGAGACTGACAAAAAGACAATGGTCCTTGGTCAAAGTTTTGGTCTACTGTACAGAATCTCAGTCAACTGTTGCAATTATTAAACAAATTACAGTTTTCTTTTTCGTTAAATTGTTGTCTACTTGTATTGCATTTAAAATTTTCATGCATGCAAATATTTCTCTTGCAAAGCGTCATTTTCTTACTTATATTTTTCTCCCAAGAATATATTTCTTAATTTATAATGGTTTTCAATGGAGAAATATGATTCATTTTAAGATTATCTGATTTAAAGTTGGGTTTTTGTGAACAAAACCCCATCATAAATTGAGGTATACCTGTACAAGAAATACTTCAGCGATGAAAATATGAACTTGGATGTTTGAACCCTTTATTTTAATAAAATTGATTTTTTGAATCTATGTTTTTGTAGTAGATATAAACTTCAGCATTCTAAGTTACAATAAAATAATGGTTTATATTACTTAGAAAAGAAAAGAAAAAAGCTAACAACAAGCATGATAAAACATTTAAGGTAACTGCTTAAGAAGTAAGTGTATTAAAACCCCAGAGTAATGGAAATTAAGCAGTGAAAGTTTAGACAAACAAAGACTCTACAAATCGATCACAGTAAATCTTCCATTATTTGGCACTTTGTAATTAGGAATTTTCCTTACTTCAGGTAGTTCGAGAATGCCAAAATATATCTTCCCTCAAAATAGGTGTCAAATTATAACAAATACTTGTGAATAATGTAGACATGTTTTGGGGCACTGAAATACACATGAAAATGCTGTGATCACTTTCTGTTTTATGCAGATATTGTACATGACATTTTGTTTTTGAAAACTAAAGAAATTTCACAACCTGTGGTACTGTGTAGTATCTTAAAACCTTATTGATGTTGTTTAATGATGAACCAAGTCCTTCAACAACACATCCCAATTAATTTAAGTCACAAATGTAAAGCTTAAGTAGTGATGAGAATCTAAAACTTGTTGATAGTGATACAAGTTGCATGAATCCAGATATGACTCCAAGGTAATCACTCCTTACACTCCAATGGTGTAAAATATGTGCAGCAGTGTAATTCATGTAATGTACAGACTTATGCAAGTGTCGTGATCCCAATATCCTTTATACCTGGGGAGTGAAACCTACCCCAAGTTATCATCAAATAAAGGAACAAACAGGGAACACGGCAATAATTATCCCAATAAAAACCGACTCAACTGAATGTACTTGAATAAATAAGAATAAGTTAGAGTAAGTGAGTCACAAATGGGAAGATAATTAAATAATTCAATTTATGTCCTTAAAGGAGTACTGTCTAGCAACCATGGAATTTAAGGGAATAAGTGATTGTATATTAAAATAAGAGTGATGCCGGAAGGGTGAAAATATACCGTTAAGGAGTTATATCAAATGAATACTACTTAACATTAACGATATTAAACACAGACATCACAATATATACACAGCAATCACAACCAACTGGTTATTTCCTGCCAAATAGAAGATTCCTTAACACCAGGATCCCTTCCTAGGCCTAAGTTAACGTGCCACTAATTACCAGATACCACTAGGGTATTGTAGATGACTGAACAAGGCACGTCTGTACTGGGTCGGTGTGGACACGTCCTGCCTATAGCCTATACCACGGTTTACTAGAGAGGGAGTCTCTGGCCACACAGCATGTGAGTGAGGAGCGTCTTAGCTCACGTGACTCAGGGCAGTTGCCAAATAGTCTTATAACTAATTAATACTACTCTTGGTTTGACTTAACAGAGTAACACAAATGATGCATATTAATGACATACATAGATATACAATTAACCTAAGTAACTAAGAACAACAATAAGATAATAGTAAAAATAACAAGTTATTAATAGCTTGTGTGGGGAGGAGGCGTAAATAGATATCATGCGACATGCGTGTTCCTAAAAGTTACAGGCACATGACACTAGTCCTAAATACCACTATAAGACTTCTCCTATTCTACTAAGGTGAAAACACCATTAGTATTAGTTTTTTGTTGAAAGGCAATTACATTTTTTTTACAGTTCTGTTCTCAAAATTCATCAATGTTGGGGCCTCTATTGTGCTGAACTGCAGTAGTCCCTCATTCTACGCGAGTTTGCGTAACATGGATCTACCTTTACGAACAAAATTATTTGTGATATTAACCGACTCAAAGGTAAGTTAGCTGACACATAAGCTGGTGAAAGTTAGCAAGTGTCTGCCATATCAAATATCATTCTTGCCCACCTCCAATACCTCAATCCTGGTTAAGTGCAATAATCTAGCTAAATTAAACAAGATAACCGAGCTAAACGAGCATAATAACTTAGATAAACTTGGCACAATGACCAGGATAAAATCAGCACAATAACCTGGCAGCCTTAAGCTTATCAACTGTGTGTGGAGTCACACAATCTGTTTACAAACCTGTAAACTCTTTTTATATGCCTCACAAAAGAGGGGGCTGAGGACCATTCCAGTGAAATGGAGCAATTTTGAAAGACATGGAGAAATGTCAAACACCATGTTTATTGGTACGTACTCCTGATTCATTTGACTGTAGCTAAACTGCGTGTCCAAATTTTCTTTGATAATTTAGCTTCTTTAACTGGTATTGAAAAAAACCGCCAATAATTTTAATAAGACAGGGTGTTCCCTTAAGTGCTATTCTGTAATAAGTTGACACTGACTGGTTTATATTACTGACACATTTAGATTTTGTTTTGATCTGTTTGAAAATACATTCACCCTACACTGCCTCCTCGCTTAACACGGGTTCATTCAACATATTTTCTTTTATTACTGCCCAGTATCACTTAAAGGTTCGCTCAAACACGGGTTGAACCGGGCTAATATGGGAAAACTCGGCTGAACGCGCTGAATTAGAAAATGCTTTACGCAAGCCAGCTGACGCTTAAGTTCATTCCAGTTCATGGCTAGTGTCTCCACACACACCACATGGGTTCAGAGTTTATCTAGTGCTTGGTCCGGCCACAACCATAACCTTCGCTTGGATTAAATTCAGTTATTTCGCCTGCTTTCATCATCATGGCTCCACCAAAATATTCCCCAAGTGACCCTTTACTTAGGGACACTCCAGCAAAGAAGAATAGGACCATGTTTACCCTGGAAATTAAGTTAAGACATTTTTCAACGACCATAGAGAGGCCAGTCCACGGCCTCTGTTGGAGTGGTTTCTCTGTGAACGAGTCAAGAAGAATGTGGAGATGAATAGAGCCATAATTTCAGGTAAACACAAGTTTCTTCATATTGTTTTATTAAGTTACATGCACACACAGTTCTTCATACAGAATGTGCACAAATAAAATCATTAAGTTAAAAACAGAAAGGGAAAAAAAACATTTCTTTGTGTACTGACGAGATTTAGCAGGAGCTGGGGAGTTATGTTATGCTTATTTTTTAACTTGTAATTTCAGGTAGATAAACTGAAATTTGTTCACTTGTTACATATTACATGTTACATCCCCTCCCTCAAAAAAATATAATAAATAAATAAATAAATAAATAATAATAATAAATAAATACAGTAAAATAAAAGAAATAACTATGATATGGTAAAAAATATAGAGGGAATAAAAATTTCTTTGTGTATGAGAGCATTAGGGGGAATGTTGCAAAGGGTCAGGAAGGGGAGCGTTCACAGGCGGGATTGGGTTAAGGCGAGGCTTGAGGACAACCTCACATGACGCAACCAGGATCTATGCAAATGGTGGCCATGTTAAACTTTTACTTATTGCTTTTTGCTGCATGTTGTCATCTACACAGTATATATTTTTTTAACGTGTTAGGTAGAAAATTACAGTAGTTGTGTACTATTCAGCATTAGTTTGGTAGTTTTTTGTTGTTTAGGGAACTGATTTTATAGAAATGCCAGTGCCTCCACAACATCATGTTAAGTGAATTTGGTAGATGTATGTGTGGAAGCGAGCTGCTTTAGAGCTGTACCATATCCTTGAATTTTCGTTTTGGAGAGATTTTGATGTTGGGGGGGTTGCATTTTGGGGACCACCAGAAGCATCCCCTATCTCCGTATGTTATGATGGATTCAATCTACACAGCATTTTCTGTGAGCGTAACCCGTGTTAAATGAGGGAGCAGTGTACAGAGATGGTGCTGCCTCAAGTAACAATGACCCTAAACATTACAGCCCTGTCACTGGCAGCATCTCGCGAATAGCAAACCCACGAATGGCAAGGGTCTACTGTATTGCAAAAAAGAGAGCTACTTCATGAAGACTAACTAACTTGTGTGGACTGTTGCTGGTGTGGGATCCAGGAATCATCATAGGCGGACGATTTGTCAACCCCCCGGATGGCTGCCCTGATGGTGGATTTTGTTGGAGCCTTGGCTGGAAGGAAAAGTGGAATTATTGTTACAGCTTGATCCCTCTTACCTGATTAATATTCTAGAATACTAGACTTGACTCATATTTTTCTCTATAGTGACGTCTCTGTTAGCCGGAACAATTGGTGCAAAGCACTTCCGAGAATGAGAGATTTCCTGGTAACGAGACGACTCTCTCAGAGCCGGAAAAAATCCCTCATCCCCGGAACTTTTTAGGGGTTCACTGTCTTTAATTTGGAGGCAATGAAGCCATGGTTTGGTTAGGTTAGGTTTATGCTGAGCCAATGATGAATTGCCCAGTGACAAAATATCTTAGGACCATATCATTTGCACTGCATTTTGATAGTTTGGACTTTCAGCTAATCAGGACCCCTCCATCCCCAATGAGTCTGGATGACCCAGGGTTAATTTTTAGGAAAACTGGAGTAACTTTGATAGCCATGCAATGAAAATAAAAAGTTGCAAAAGAACCCTAGATTATTGTATATAGACATACGTATAGTACAGCTATATATGCTCAACAGCTTCATTTAGTGGCATGTCAGTCATAGTCTCTATACACTTACCACTTTTTTATTACTCCAATAACTTTTATTTTTTTGCTTGAAGAAATTCACCTGCATTCTATAAGCAATTCATTCCCATATATTACAAGTAACTCACGGGTTAATTTTAAACTTTTAATAACAATATGCAACTTAACACAGTGTACTGTACCTTTATGAGTGGGTAGTTACTGTTTTTATTAAGTCCCGGTAATGGTGCAGGTCCACGTCCAGAGATATCTGGTGGAGAGGGTCCACGCTGAGTAAGGTCAGTTGGTCCTTGTGATCTCAATGGAGCAGAGAACCCTCCATGCTGATTTATAGATGAATGGTTTGCACGTGAAGGTCCTCTGTTTAATCCTGGCAGAGAAACATCCCTGTTTGGTGGCTGCATATTTTGTAAATTGCCACGTGGAAGAGTAACTGGTGGCCGATTTGCAGAAACATAAGGATTAGCATTTGTTGGAGGTTGTCTTGAAGGTAAAATGGGAGGACCTCTGGTTGGTAGACTTGGGAAGCTTGGGGTGTTGATTACAGTTCGGGGGGTCATGTAAAATTCATTTTCTTCATCACCTAGAAAGAAACAGAACCATACTTGTGATCAAGAATTTCATTCCAAGTGGCAGTTCTGTGGCAGAGAGTTCACCTGATAAATGAATAGTCCTAAGTGTAATTCCAAACTGGGAGTAGAGGATTTGTTTCCCTCTATGTAAAGGCATCCTTCAATACATGATCAGGTTGCATTCCCGAAAACCTGATCATAAAGTGAATGATCACAAACCGAACACATCTTAGCATAATGTCAATGGGGTTATGTTGCAGGAATCAGTGAAAGTGGGGGTTTCACCCAATTAGGCCCAAAACTTATGACGTTAAAGTACCTCAACACCATAATATCACTATATTAAAGCACCTCAATGTCACAATATCATGATATTAAAGTGATTATATGTAATTATATGTAAGAGGTGGTCACATGGCACAGGAGCGCCAAGCAAAAAATAAGACACTTCCGATGAACGTACATATTTTCCACCCTATAACACACAATTATATGATATAAAATGTGGGTTTGAATGATATTACCACCACCACCACCACCTCGACCCACAATACCACTACCACCACTCCACATCGGCTAGGTAGCAAAGCATATATCGCATGCCTTTCAAATTCGCGGGGGTTAGGTTCTCAAAATGGCCATGAATCAACAAATGTTGAGTCTACCCTCAAGTCTACTCTGTGCTTTATTAATAACAAAGCACGTAGTGGACTTGAGAGTAGACTCAACATTATTAATATACATTTGTTTCTGAATATTAGTGAGAGGATTTTCCCATTATTATTCACTTGTATGTGTTTTGTGTGTAGTGTCTACACACACACACACACACATACCCGTATATACAATACAGGTAAAGGAAATTACTGTCTCTAGAACAAATGAATCCCTGTCCCAGCCGCAAAAATGCCAGCAAATTTAAAACTACCAGCAGACATTCTGGGTACATCCAGGGTATCATCTACGAATACAGTGATATCCCTGTTAGCCAGAACAATTAGTGCAGAGCACTTCCGGGGATGAGAGATTTCCGGGTAACAAGACGACTATCTCAAACTTGTTAAAGTTTCTTATCCCCGGAACCTTTTTCGGTTCCTGGGAAAATTTTCAATGTGTCTAAACCAGCCCTCTTGCACAGACACACACTAGCCCACTTCCCCAGAATGTTTCTGGGTGCTGGAGATGTTTTCCTTGAGTCTAACCTACTGGAATCTGTAAACACAGTTCCAATTAAGTTAGAAACTTAATTTCTTTACTATAATAATCCAGAATATGTAGTTTATCTAAAAGGTTGGTTAAATAAATATATTTAAAATGAAAAATCTAAGGGATATGGTCATGAATGAAGCTGTGTGTTACAGAAAAGACTGTCATTTTCCACTCCCATAGAGCTGTAGGGGTTTAGTGGGTCTCATGTTACTGACCTGACCTGATGCAATGTCAGGTGGAGGTAGGGTGGGGGATTAGTGGTATCATATTACTGACCTTCGGATGCAATGTTAGGTCACCCATGTTGGGTGACCTAAGATGTTTTGAATACAGACGAAAGCTAAGATACTTTTGAGGCTCATGCTGTTGGTGGAGGCATGGGAAAACGTAAAATAACAAGTAGATTGCACCACGTGATGATAGTGTGGTGCTTCCTGAGACCTCTCCCAGTGTCTCTGGCCCTTCTAGCATAAGTGATAGTTTGTCCGGCCCTTCAACAAGACGTCCTAGGGCTATGACTCAACATGTACAATTATCTTTTAAGCTTGGAGGGAATAACGATTAATCTGTACTCGGCCTGGGTGCACTTATCAGAATGCAAAATTTCCACCACTATTACCTAGTGAAATATTAATTGTTATCAACTTTTTTTATAAAAAAAATTTCCGACATATGCATGCTTTATAATGGAATAAGGTTTATATTGCAATCACATGAAATAATGAAGGTATAAAGCAATGTATAAACATTTTCATTGAACGCAAACAAATATTTTGTGTTCTACTTGCGCTTACGTATAGGATTAATTATTTTTATGGTGATTACACATACAAAACTGTTTATAGATAATTTATTTACAATGCAGATGCAATAAATCCCACCTTTTTATCTCAAATAGCAAGCTAGTTATGACTCATTGCATACAGCTATTTCTAGTGTGGTGAGGTGAGTAATAGGCCAGAGAGCACCTACCCAAACCCAAGAGTGTTAAGGTGCACGAGAAAGAAAGTCTGAATGGCTAGGTGAATAATATATTGTACTGTACACATATATTATATCAGTAACCTTCTTAAATACTGTTTTAATAGATGGTAGGAGCTAACATATACATACAGTAATCATAAATGTACAGGAATCAATTACCTTCAACATGGCCGGTGGATACCTGAAAAGAGAAACCACAAAATAATAAAAAAACAACATTTATTGCTGAGACATGAGTGAATATGACACAGGATCTTGTATTACAATAGATGTTATAAATGTATACATGTACTGCATAGATGCTAATGATAATATACTGTACTGTACTTATTTCCTGCCTTAATGCATTGAAGGCATTTATTTACCTAACTATAGAAAAGCCTGATGGATTTTATATAACATTATAGAACCTAATGTGAATAAAGTTCAAATTATGTTTAGAAAATGAAATTATCAAAATTAATAACATTATATTAAAGTTCCATATTATCACTTCATTTTGTAATAACAAGCACACTGAAGAGTCTCAGTTTATGATTTCGAACCTACAAAGCATTCAATATTCCATTTTAATTAGTGGGTTTTCAGCAGAAAGATATAATCATTTTAGAATCTTGATTTTTTGCACAAATGTCATTCATAGCAGTTTTGGACCATTCTAGCATTTTCCACAACTCTCAAAAATTTTTGTACACCCAGTGAATACCTAAGAAATGTTGCAAAGTGTTTTAAACCAGAGCTGTTAACTTAAGTCAATCAACAAGGAGAAGAGATAAAACAGGGTTCTTCTCAGAGTACATGTTCCTCCCCAATATTACATATCCCTAAGTAGTAGACACGCTTAGATGTGTAAAAGTACATAGGGTATATATTTCAGAAAACAATGAATTGTAGATATACAAGTAATTTTCACTCAGAAATTTGTCTTGGTAGTAAATACAGTACCAACAAATCAAACCTTTTGATGACGGCAATTACTGTATCTTGAAGTCAATATCTAACTGTGACCTCAGATTCTAATGTTATTGTAAAATTGCCCAAATGAATGATATGATGATTTCCAGAAACTTTAGATCAGAAAGTACTAGTGATATCCCCGTTAACCATAACAAATGGTGCAGACGACTTTTTCAAACGAGGAAAAATCCCTTATCCCCGGAATTTTTTACGGTTACTGGGAAAAGTTTCCAAAAGTCTAAACTACAGTACAGTGTGCATGTGCATTTTGTACAGAGAGACACTAGCCTACATCCCAAGAACGTTTCTGCATGTTGGGATAAGTTTTCCAAGAGTCTAAACTACCAGAGTCTGTAAAATCAGTTCTATTTAAGTTAGAAACTCCATTTCCTTACTAGAAGAATCCTTAATAATTTATGTAAAACTTTAGTTAAATAAATAAACAGTTTTTAAAAAATAAAAAATCTATATAATATGGGTGTGTGAGGTGCCTTGTGAATGAAGATGTGTGTTACAGCGAAGATTGATATTTTCCACTCACACAAAGTTGTAGGGGATTAGTGGGTCTCATGTTACTGACTTGACCTGATGCAATGTCAGGTGAAGGTAGGGTGGGGGATTAGTGGTCTCATATTACTGACCTTCGGATGCAATGTCAGGTCACCCATTGTTGGGTAAAGGATTAGTGGGTCTCATGACCGCAAGATACCTTGAAGAAAAATTAAAGCCGAGGTATTTTGAGATGCGAGGCTGCAAGCAAAGTGTAAACTTTTATTCCCAACATCAGCTCTGATAGTGTTAAAGAAAAGAATTTGGTACCATTGCATATATGGAGATGCATTCTTTTTACCTATGAAATATATACAGTATTGTATATGAAGGGTACAGGTATTACCTGTAATAAACACAGATTATTACAGTAATGTATCTTTACTAATTAATGAATAACAAATAAATAATGTACTGTACAATAAAGATGTAAAGTTATGAAGGAGACTGTTTATATTCATTGTGCATTGTGTACACCAAAAACTGTCATTAAAAACACGTTTTGTGGCAATATAAAAATTTGGGGGAAGATTTTCTTTTTTTTTTCCATAGGAAAATACAGTATCTCAGTTTTTATAATTGGATCCTATGGGAGCCTATGGTGAAAAAAGAATTTTATAGAAGGGTTTTCAGAAACAGAATCTATGAAAGAAAGTGTCTCCTATTGTCATGCAGTACAAAACTAAAGCAACTCACATCTTGTTTGGGTGAAGTGGATGAATCTTGTTCTGTGTCATCACCAAAGTCATCATCAAAGTCATCTTCGTCATCATATTCACTACTATTTCTAGAGGAATCAGCTTGCTGATATGAAGGTGATCTCTTCCAGCTTCCTTGGAGTCCAAGAGAGTTCTGTGGTTGCTGGATTTCGCTGTTGAAATGGGGAGGATATTGTAAACCATATCTATTTTCTGGGTTGTAAAGGTCAAATTCATTTAATAAACTGTGAAAGATAATGTATAAATTATGCCAGTAATATTTTTTTCTCTGAGAAAACTCAGCTTTATACAGGTATGGGACCATTTATCTGGCATGCATGCTTGGGACCTGGGGTTGCCAGATAGATTTTTTCCAGAATTTGGAGTGCCAACCACTGTGATGTCCTGCTCCATCACTGAGCCAGCTAACTCATGTGTAAAGAAATATATATTCCCTCTATGTGTTTGTCCTAGGACAATTATTTCTTTAACTTTTTTTTCCAATATGTATGTAGGATGGTGTGAGCCTGTAACCGAGTAATAATAGATGAAGAAAATTACGTATATCTTCCTGAAAATATGCATTAAGAAGCAACCATAACACCTCACAGCTTGGCTCAGTTGCTTGGTGGTTACAGTGACAAGTCTAACCTGACTACAATGTCCCCAGCAATGTTAACAGATGCAAATGTGAAAAGAAAGTTCTGTAAATCTTCATTTGTATCAAGTATTTGTAGATTTAAAATTAAATGTTGCAGGTATGGCACTAATAGATTGTAATGCTAGCAAGAGTTCAGAAATGGTTACTGCTTAGCTACCTCTGAAGAGTTGTGTCGCTGCCATACAGACATTAATCGTCTCAGGTTATCATCAGTACAGTACAGAGTAGTTATAAATTGAGGTTTTATATTTACAATACTAAAAACTTTTTAATTAATTAAAAATAGTAATAATGTATTTAAGTATGTAATAACATACATTTAATTCTGGAGTTGGGTTAGGTAGAATTTAGCCTACTAAAGACAACAACTGGAGGAGTCATTAGCTTACAGGGGACTGCAACTTCACATACAAGATGAAGGCTGATTTTTTTTTAGCCATTTTCAGACAAAAAAGTGCATCTTATATGCTGTAAAATACAGTAATTAGCAAATCAACTCGTGTAATCTTAGTCGGAAGACTCATACCTCATGGTCAGTTACCCGCCAGATATTGTGAGGGAAGCACATCCTTAGACCTCTCTAATGACCTCCCTCACTCCACACCCAAGTGCAAGTGAAGGCATTTGCTCGGCAGTAATGCTGTTCATTAAGAGTTGCTTGATTTGAGTGGTACTGATAAAGTATCAGGTAACAAAGACAATGATGAGAGGAAACAGAACCCAGATGATATCGAGTTTGTTTTGGCAGTGAGGACAGTGATACAGCCAATGATTCCCTTCCCCACCCTGCCAGCCACCGCGATCCACGACACAAAGATGTTATGATGTGGTACAAGGAGTGTGGAGTTACCTAGTACATTCTATGTTAGGAAGACATCCACATGATCAAGTTCTAAATTCAGTATAAGTGCATACAAATAGTGTATATATTTGAAAATAGTGAGAAGTTTTGTGCTGCCTGAATATTTCTACTGCTCAGTATTTATAGTTCTTTTGAAGAAAATAGAAATAATTTGTGTTTTGTAATAGCTATAAGATAGAAATATGATATAAAAGGGCCTTCAAGTAAGAATTGTGTGTTCCCGCTCACTGTGGGTTGTGCGCAGCAGCTTCAAACAAGACATCTTTCCTCATTCCACACTGCTCGGCAACACTCAAGATAACTCTTCAACTATGCTACAATAAAAGTTGAATGTAAAAATGTTCTTCTGGAAATTTTCTTTTACTGATTAACCCATTTAGAAGGTGACAAAAAAAAAAAAAAGCCTGTGTGGGGGGTGTGGTGGGTCTTACGTCGCCGGGGCTTTAAGGGTTAAATAATTTGTACCAGAATGTAGCTGCTTTCTGGAGTGCTCCAGATACCAAGATGATGGACGAAGTCCCATTCCTGTATTACTGTACTTCCAAAGGGTACTTCAAAAAATACTCACTCCTCATAATATGGGATACTTTACATAACACATCTAAATGATTGGTGAATGTGTTATTTCAGATGTAGACATGGCATCTCAATAGCTATTACCCTTCACTTCTGAGGGAGTTACTAAATATGACAGTATGCACCTGAACAAGTGTTCATTATTAATTAAAAACTAGCTTACTGGAAACAAATGCCAGATAGTACATTTATTGTCAACAAAGTGAAGAAAGCACCTGGGTTTAAAGCAAGCAAGAATAGCTAGACTCAGATATTACCACCATCTCTAATAAGCACAGATTTACTGTAATTTTATAAATGACAGTATTTATTTTATAATCACAGTAAAGCGGTCACTGAAATGTCTGGAAAATATTGAATTTACCCTAAAAAAAGTGAAAATTTAAATGTAAAATGGCAAAGAACACTCACACCATAGTTTTTTTTCCATACTTCATTTATATTTGTTGTCCACTTGCTTGGATCAGTTGTCAAACAGTTCTCATAGGTAGAATGTCTTGAACATGAAAATAACACATTGATCCACGAGTTGGATCAAAGCAGTCATGTTTTGGGAAGAAACATCACTTCACAAGATCAACTAAACGTCCTAAGTAGCTTAGGGTATTATCTACAATAGTCTGGAACAGCACTACAATAGTCTGGAACAGCACTACAATAGTCTGGAACAGCACTACAATAGTCTGGAACAGCACTACAATAGTCTGGAACAGTACTACAATAGTCTGGAACAGTCCTACAATAGTCTGGAACAGTACTACAATAGTCTGGAACAGCACTACAATAGTCTGGAACAGCACTACAATAGTCTGGAACAGCACTACAATAGTCTGGAACAGCACTACAATAGTCTGGAACAGCACTACAATAGTCTGGAACAGCACTACAATAGTCTGGAACAGTACTACAATAGTCTGGAACAGTACTACAATAGTCTGGAACAGTACTACAATAGTCTGGAACAGCACTACAATAGTCTGGAACAGCACTACAATAGTCTGGAACAGCACTACAATAGTCTGGAACAGCACTACAATAGTCTGGAACAGCACTACAATAGTCTAGCCTGGAACAGCACTAAATAGTCTGGAACAGTACTACAATAGTCTGGAACAGTACTACAATAGTCTGGAACAGCACTACAATAGTCTGGAACAGTACTACAATAGTCTGGAACAGCACTACAATAGTCTGGAACAGCACTACAATAGTCTGGAACGGTACTAAAATAGCCTGGAACAGCACAACTAGTCTGGAACAGTACTACAATAGTCTGGAACAGTCCTACAATAGTCTGGAACGGTACTAAAATAGCCTGGAACAGCACTACTAGTCTGGAACAGCACTACAATAATCTGGAACAGTACTACAATAGTCTGGAACAGTACTACAATAGTCTGGAACGGTACTAAAATAGCCTGGAACAGTACTACAATAGCCTGGAACAGTACTACAATAGCCTGGAACAGTACTACAATAGTCTGGAACAGCACTACAATAGTCTGGAACAGCACTACAATAGCCTGGAACAGTACTACAATAGTCTGGAACAGCACTACAATAGTCTGGAACAGCACTACAATAATCTGGAACAGTACTACAATAGTCTGGAACGGTACTAAAATAGCCTGGAACAGCACTACTAGTCTGGAACAGTACTGGATGTACAATAGCCTGGAACAGTACTCCAAGTCTGGAACAGTACTACAATAGCCTGGAACAGTACTACAATAGTCTGGAACAGCACTACAATAGCCTGGAACAGCACTACAATAGTCTGGAACAGTACTACAATAGTCTGGAACGGTACTAAAATAGCCTGGAACAGCACTACTAGTCTGGAACAGTACTACAATAGCCTGGAACAGTACTACAATAGCCTGGAACAGTACTACAATAGCCTGGAACAGTACTACAATAGCCTGGAACAGTACTACAATAGCCTGGAACAGCACTACAATAGTCTGGAACAGCACTACAATAGCCTGGAACAGTACTACAATAGCCTGGAACAGTACTACAATAGCCTGGAACAGTACTACAATAGTCTGGAACAGCACTACAATAGCCTGGAACAGTACTACAATAGCCTGGAACAGTACTACAATAGCCTGGAACAGTACTACAATAGCCTGGAACAGTACTACAATAGCCTGGAACAGTACTACAATAGTCTGGAACAGCACTACAATAGCCAGGAACAGCACTACAATAGTCTGGAACAGCACTACAGTAATCTGGAACAGTACTACAATAGCCTGTAACAGTACTACAATAGCCTGTAACAGTACTACAATAGCCTGTAACAGTACTACAATAGTCTGAGACAGTACTACAATAGTCTGGAACAGCATTACAATAGTATGGAACAGTACAATAGCCTGTATCAGTACTGCAATAGCCTGTAACAGCACTACAATATCCTAGGACAGTACTACAATAGCCTGTAACAGTAATACAATAGCCTGGGACAGTACTATAATAGCCTGGGACAGTACTACAATATCCTGGAACAGTTCTACAATTGTAGTAAATTTTAAAAACTTACCAAAATTCAGTAAAATCGAGTTCTTTTACGTAACCCGAAATTATGGTCATACAAACATACTGAAATTCTCACAATTACACCAGGGCAAAATTACATAACTGGAGATTCCATAATGCGGGGGATGCCTGTATACTGTACTTTATATATAAAGTGTTACACAGTTCCAAATTAGTTTCTAATGTTAACACCACGTTAGCCTTTTCTATAATAGGTGCTCTTTGTGGTGCCTGAGATGTTTTATCATAAAGCATTATGCATGGCAGAGATGAAAAGTGCAATGCACGTCCATGTACTGTACAGCATGTGTAAATTTTAGCCCAGCCTTAATGAACTTTAAATAGTAAAAGTACTATGTACAAGTTAAAATCCATTTCTTGTGAAACCAATATAAATAAGGGTAATCTGTATTTACTAATCTTTAATGAAGGCAACTAATTTGAATGGTTGACACATACAATATAGCTACTTTCAAACTAGAGTGTATGTTTATAAGCATTGGCAATACTGTACAATAATACCTAACCAAAAAACACAGTTCACAAGGGCTGTTAAATGTGCAGTACATTACATATATATGGCAGTTACCCACAGAGCACGGTACTGAAAAGCTTAGTGGCAAATTTAAAACAATACTGTATATACTTACTCAAGTAACTTTTGACTCCCTAGCAGTTTAGCAAAAGTGATGGCATCATTATTGAGATATATTGAGTCATCATCATTACATTCCCTATTCTGCATTTCTCTGGAATAAAGTTGGGAATGATTTCCTAGCAAATACTGAAGGGAGAATTGTATGAACAGAAGTGCAAAAATTTTCACTCACATCATTTAACATAATATCTCAAATACTATACGATATACATACACAATCTTAAATTAACATGTAAGCCAATTTTGTTTTGCACTACCGGGTAATCAGAATGTCACACAAAAATTGAGAAATTGTAAAATACTAGTGATCCAGAATGATGACAGATTAGTTTCTGGAAGATCTCAAACAAGCCTTTGTTCCTAAGGTTAAGACAGTACACTGGTGGTGACAGTCGAACATAAGTTTCACAGTAAGATATTACTATCAAGTCATTCAGGAAGTTACATCCTGTAAGCTATATAAAAAAAAAAAAAAAATCTTACCAGATTCTCAACATCTTTTCTTATTATCTGTCCACCATTTTTATATCTTTCCCAGTTTTGTTTGGGGTGGATCAATGAGTAAAGAAACCTTGTAGATGAAGTCTTAACCTTAACAATATATAACTCAGTATTACAAAGGTTCTGTTACATACCCAATCATTATTTCAATGACACTGTTAAAACTTTTACCTTTAAATGAGCGATTGTATGCGCATGTAACAGTATGGGGTGAAGACAAAAATAAAAAAAATATAAAATAAAATAAAAATGTTACATAAACAATGGACCAACAAAATAGCTCAAAACAGCCTGTCAGGCCATTTTGCCGACCTGTAATGTAGCCTCATAAGAAAAACATCAGCAACAGCTGGTGAAACATAACCAACAGGTGTAAAATACTTCAAAAACAGATTCACTGTGATTGTTTGTATAATACAGATGCAGAGGTAGTGTCCAAGGTATTTTAAATATATGTGAAAATATTCATAATACTGTACAGTACATTATCATGGCAACAAAAGAGCATATATGACCAAGACATTTTTCTTGAGTGGTTTAAAACCATTTCGTTCATGAACACGGGCACATTGTACAGCAGCTGGTCTTGAAGAAAAGAGTAAAATATTGTTGCTGTTAGATGCTTGTTAAGCACATCCTGATACTTAACTTCTGATGAAGGATAATGTTTATTTTATCTATTTACCACCGTGTAACATCACTGATACAACCACTGGACCAAGAAATTTTGAGAGCAATGAAGTGCTTTTGCAAATACATCTTCATGAAACATTTGTTTATTATCGTAAACAAAGGTAGTTTGCTAGAGATAACATTATTTAAACATCCAGATATTATTATGATATTAATCAATGTAAATTATTCATGTAGTACCAATGCTCCATTCAGCCAACATGGGAAAAAAGTCACAATATACTGTATTTAGAAACTTACTTTGTGTGTCTACCGGTACTGACTAGTTGTTGGCTTCTAATCTGCGTGACTAGTTTCATTATTTGTCTGAAAGTAAACAAATAATACTAGGTAATGTTTCAACCATGAAAAGATTGAGGACTTAAGAGGAAAGATAGTTTTGTGTTCTCAGAACAAACTAAAAATTACTGAAAATCATTAAGGAGCAAATAAAACAAGAAAAATTTTTAAGAAAATATTTTGCCTTTTTTACATGATTAATATTTAAAATCTCTTGTCAAGGAATGCAAAACAAAACAAAGTGTTGTCAAAATATAAAAGTTCTAATTCTAACAGAGCCTCTATTTTTACTATATAAATATGGAAAATGTTAATTATCAATGTCAACCTAGCTACACAATATATATAGCTGTAAAACAAATTGTATTTCAATGTACCAAGTTTTTCTCAGGTTAAAAACAACCATTCTCCACACTTGCATGGGTTAACTATGAAGGCATTGTATCCCAGTTGAGTTAGGCATATCTGAAGCAAGTTTTATGGTTGGACTTACAAGTGCACAAAAATCTGATGCTACAGTTGATGACAAGAATGAGAAACCCTGCTAGATAAAGATATACTGTACTGTAAATGTTTTATCAAAAATTTCATAATATAAATTGGAAAAATTTAAACCTCTGGTTTAAATTTTGTCTGCCTTTTACTCGGATATAACTCTTCCTCATAATGTGCACAACACTAGAATTTTTTACAAGCATGACAGGCATGACTACCTGTTCGGGACAGCGTGGATACAGCTCATCATATACTAAGCCTTTGATACAAATGGAGGCAACATGGTCGGTGCTGCACTCGGCCCCATTCACTTCCCCAAGGTGTAAACTTAAGTATCCATTTACAGTTGAGTAAACTGGGGGTGCCCGGAGATCAAACCACCGACCCTTGGAACAGGCGGCTAGCACTACAACCATTCGACCACCACACTCCTTGGGAAGTCAATAAGAAACCCCAAAATGGAAAGATCTGAAGGAGGAGTCATCAAATGCTTCAAGAGTACAGTACATGTAGATATGCAGCAGACATTAAGGACTCTGCACAAGTTTATTTAACTGTTGTTGAAAGGTCAGGATAATTAAAACTTGGTAGAGCTTCATGAAAAGATGCCATCTATGTGTAAGGAAACCACTGGAAAGGTGCATAATCTTTACTAAGTCTGTTGACATTTCATATGACAGTACCCACCTCTTATAACAAATTTTTCTGGTGTATCACCATGGACGAAATTTGGGTTCACTATTTTGATCCTGAGACAAAATAACAAAACATGACCTAAACAAACCCATCATCTCTGCCTCCCCTTGGCAGGCAAAATCATGGCATCCATTTTCTAGGATGCTGAAGAAAAACTGCTTGCCACTCACCAGGAGAGGTGAGTTGCCATTAATTGTAACTATTATACAAAGTTAACTGGAAAACTGCAAGAGGCAATCATGGAAAAAAGATGAGTAATTTACAAAGTGGAGTGCTGTTTCACCTGAAAATGCATATCCCCTCCAGGAAAAATATTTCTAATGATCAATACATGATGTCTCTTGGTCTGTTGTGGATCTATGGTTAGGGAACTAGGACAAAGACTTTTTTTTTTAGAAAGAGGAATACGGTGCAGGCCCTGGAGCACTACAATACAGCCCAAACATCACTTAAGTTCAAGAAGCCAATGTTAAAATATAAAAAGTAAATCATTTGCATACATACAGTCATTCATACCCAAAATACAACTTTTTGATTAAGCCTCAAACCTGTTAATCTTCAGGGTTATATTCAGAAGTGCTGTCAAGGAATGACCCAAGAGTAAAAAACAGACAGACTATAAATTAATATGGAAATGGGACAACAGTCTGTGACAAAGTAAGTAGGCAAGTACAAAAAATTACAATATGGCAGTCTATGAACATTTAAATCTCTAATTCACTTTCTTCAAATTGATTTGAAGATAAAAATAGATAAGCCATCACAGTTTTGATTTGTTTAAAATTAGGTGAGTGTAGTATTTCTATATAACTTAGGCCTTATGCTTCTCTAATCATGTTTTACAACACTCTCCCATGCTATTTCTTCCCTTTCCTGAAATTCCTTTACCCCTTGATCCATCCCACAGATAAGAGGAGTGACTGCAATAGACAGTTATTTCTATATTAACTGACATTTTCTCACTATTCTCCGAGTCATCTGTTACCTTTTTTATCCCCTACACAATGGATTTCACGGAGGTTAATAGGCAGATGGCCAGCTGATGAAATAAAGAATTAAAAGGTCAGAAAGAAATGTCTTAAGAATGATAGTTGATGTGTATAATGGAGTTGTTTTGTATATGACAACAGTGTTAGTAAGAACAAATATGATGCCTCACTTTATTATACATGGCATTGTGTATCTACAATACATGGAGGCTGAAGATTCACAATTCAAGATACAACTTTGCCAATATTACTCACTTGCGATTCCTAATGGAAACATCTCTACCCCATAGTACTAAATTTTCTTCAGTTAATTGCTGAAAAAAAAAATGCAATTAGTCTTCAAATCTTTAAATCGTACTCTGTGTACAATGATAATATTAAAGAAGCATAAAATAAAAACTTTAAATTTAATACATTTTATATGCCAGTAAAATATAATTGTACTATTACTCAACTGGATTACCTACATGGTTAAATAGTATCCACAAAAAATATTGAACCAGGTTATGAAGTAAAATGCATTTTCATGCTCAAATTTGAGCCCAGTTACTGCTCACCAATTTAAATTGGGCCAAAATTTTCACCTACAAACTCAATGGTGCTTCAGGCCTCTATGTAAGATGTTCCCACATGACCAGTTTGTGTTTTGCTGTCACCTAGGGTGATGGCAACAGTTTCTGCCACATTCTGATGACAGGAAAAAACACACCACTATACAAGCCAATTTTTTTCTCTGACCAGTCACCATGTTCCAAGAACATGTTTTGTGAGGAAAAGGCTCATATCCTTGCCCTGTTAGATGAAAAAATTCCTCTGAAGGAAATCCAGTAATGGTCAGGAACGACTCTCTCAAAGCCAGGAAAAAAAATCCCCTATACCCAGAATTTTCTGGGTTACGGAGAAATTTTCTCGGAAGTTCAAGAAATTGCACATTACATCATCTCTCAAACCCAGAAAAACTACCCCATCCCCGGAATTTTCCAGAAAATGTGCCCCTCAGAAAATGTTTCTCGGCTTTGGGAATAATTTTCTGAGAAAATTTCAATTCCGGCTATTGGAGAGTTCCGGTTAAGAGGGATTCCAACTAACGGAGATATTACTGTACTTATATTTCTTAAGTATAATTTCATCTTTGGTAAACCCAGGTGGTTAGGCCATGATCAAACATTATACTGAACAAATATCCACATAATTAAAGGATTTCTCAATATTAAAAAAAAAAAAAAATGTTTCCAGTATTTTTTTTTAAGGGCATTAGCCCAACCGGGCACAGGTCACTGACCCACATCAGGGCCTGGGGGGGACGAAAATATTATTATTATTATTATTATTATTATTATTATTATTATTATTATTATTATTATTACACTTGTATTATTATAATAATAATAATAATAATAATAATAAACAGTGCGAACCGATATACCTATATGTATGTTGTGTTGTCAGTATTAAGAGAAACAATTGAGACCCTGCAATTATGTGTAAATGAGGCAGAAAGTCAGATCAGCAACCTGGGACTTGGTCACAATTTTTGTGATGCCATATGGCAGCAGGGTCTACCATAAGACAACACATTATGCTTCCAATATCTTCCCAGGCGGTAGTACCACCCTGTTTGATAGCTGCCTACTACCTAATACTGTTTATCATTAGCTAAAAGTCCAAAATATAACCAAAGCATAAACTTACCAGTAAGGAATGTCCATCTATTCCCTTTCTGAGAGAAACATCACAGCAGTCAGCTAACTCAACCTGTAATTTCAATACAGTACTATACTATACAATACAGGTACAGTATATAATTTCAACTAAACAGTGTTAAGTTTAAAATAAGCAAATTACTGTACATAGGTAACTGGCTCCTATCCAGGATTTTATAAGTTTAGTAAAATGCCAAGAATATAACAAGAAAATGAGGCCGACAGACAAAAGTGTCATGTTAATCAATACAGTAGTTCTTTTTCCATTCGCTTGACATGTGACTTATCAATAGTTATTACTGGCATCAAGTGAAAACTGTTAGTAACCAGCAAATTCCAAAACACAGTGAACCCTTGCCCAACACTGGTTTGTCCAATGCGCTTTTTGATTATATGCGTTTAAATATATGTGACCAAATAATTTCCCCAACAAGGAAAATTTGAATATAAGCGGATTAAGAATGCGTCGCCCCCGCCCTCCACTCTGCCAGTTGGAGATGCCTGCCAAGCAGCAGCCACTCATCTCTCGGTCTCCCTTACGTGCTCGTACTGCCGACATTGTACTAAAGTGGTTTTGGAACTTTTTGTGTTGCTTTGTGTGTTTGCCCTTGCAGAATGTCCCCCAAATGCTGAAGTGATGCTAGTGATGGTAGCACACCCCAAAAAAGTAGAAAAGTGATGACTTTAGCCGAGAAAATAAAGATTTTAGATTGGCTGCGTGATGAAGCGCGTGAGAACTCTGTAAATGAATCCATCGTATGCACAATTCAAAGTTATGAGGACAAAATAATTGCAAGTGTGAAAGCAACTGCATTTTATAGTGCTAAGGTAGCCCAAGTACCAAGGAGGAATCGGTACTTGGAAAAATTGGAGAAACGATTAAATGTTTGGATCAGTGGACAGGTGAATGAGAAAGGATCTGTTGTCGATAGCGTAGCAATGCGTGAGAAAGCACGTAGCGTGTATGCTCATGTTGTGAAAACTGAGAGGGCAGGGAGTGATGCTGCGACTGTGACTTGATTTCCCAGCAAGCAAAGGTTGGTTTGAAAATATTAAATGCAGCTTTGCTTTACATAATGTAAAGCTTCAGAGAGAGGCTGGATCAGCAGACAAAGAGGCTGAAGAGCACTTCAAGACCATGCTGCTTGAATCGATAAACGACAAAGGATATGCCCTGGAGCAAGTGTTTAACGCTGATGAGAATGACCTCTTTTATAAACGTATGGAGAAAAGTTTAAAGTTCAAAAGGGCCCTTGATGATATTTGTGCCATACAGAGATATTCTGAAAGATTTGCCTAGAAAAGCAAACAACAGAAAATAACAGACTTCTTCTCGAGGCCGCAGTCACCCCAACCATCAACATCATCTGTAGATCTTGAGCCTTGGGAAATAAAACTCATTCCAGTTTCATCATCATCAAGGCCTTCCTCATGAATCACCATCACCAGAAAGCTTCACAACATCTACAATATCATCATCATCAGTTATGCTACAATCATCTAACCATGGATCAGTGAGTATAGTAATATGATTTATAATGCTTATCATTAATATTTTTAATTTTTGATGATATGTTAGTTCTCTTATCATCATATCTGTGCATTAAGTAAATATTTAATAGGTATGCATTTCACGTGATAGAGTCTATATGCGGCCACGAATCCGCCACCCCATTTTTCCCATAAGAAGTTAAGTTTGCCCAACACACCGTTTTCGAGGAACCTAACCCCTGCGTTTGGCAAGGGTTCACTGTATTGAAGTGTGGTATATAGAGGTTCTACTGTAGTTAATAGTCAAATTGTGACCGAGGGGAGTTGGCAGTGTTTTGGCTGTTTTCTACTCAAGTTGGAATTTTTTAAGGGGTGATTATCAAGTCAAGAATGATATCTAATAAATCCATAACCAGAAACAGAAATACGAAATTTTTATAGGATTATATTCTTGATGTTCTCACAATGGTCAATTACTGAGGCTGACTTTCACCATCACTCAAGTGACCCAAGGACCCCTCCCTCACCTTGCCACTGAGGTGCAGTAAGCCCATACATTTGACAATGCCTCTGTGTGTATGAGAAATACTATGTCATTAGCAAAGCAATTAGCAACAACTGGCAGCTTGGTCTGGTTGGCTGTCTCAGGTCAAACCGTCATGATGTTGAGATCACAGAGGAACTGTGTATACTGTACCTAGTGTTAGGTCATTATGAGATTGTAACTGTAAATATTATTTAGGTCGACTGCCATGGAAATTATTGACAGTAATACGCATGGTTCCAAAATCTGCTACAATGAGTTCGTACAAACCACACATGGTACTCGCAAAACCAAACTGGGGTGAAATCGAAGAAAAATCCAGTGGTCGCTGTCAGGGCAGTATGACAACTTTATTTCATACTCTATGTTTTTTGAGGTATCTACTGTATTTAATAAGATGTGATTTTTTACATATATTGTACCTACAAAGGCATGATACTGTAAATTTTGTCATAAATCTATGGAAGCCATGAATTGTCTATTTATAGCTGCCTTAAATTGCTTTTAGTTTCACCACTTCACTTGTTAATGTTATTTAAATAAAATGCAAATTTCTACCTAGTCAAAACTGTAAATTATTTCTGTTATTTTCTTCCTTGTGACTATAGTACAGTATTTCTATCCACCCAAATCTGAATCCCCAAGATTTTCACACCACTGTTTTAAAAGTGAGTGGCATGAGTAGCATCATAAAGCATGACACGTCTCAATAGACCTCTCGCACTACCCAAGCAGTACTCAGGCTCTCAGCCCCACTCGCTACTTGAACACTGCCATGGCTGAACTACCAGTACTGTACCCAAAATAAATAATTTATACAGCATTTCATTCTTTTATTCATCAGCATACATATCTTTCACCTTATAAGAATATGAGTGTAAACTTATTTCCTGCATTTTATTGCACATACAGCACTAAGAAATTTTTTCAATAGTGACACTCTTAGAGCTAAATTTTTATATGCAAACAGCAATAGCAAGATTTTCGTAGAGCTGCAGTTTAAGGGTTAATCACAACAAATAATAATAGACATATCAACAAATAATATACAGTACTGTATGTTTGAAATTTTTTCATTCTATAAATTCATAAGTGAAAAATTAATTAAAAGTGAGAACCTGCAAACAAATTTAAAATTCGGAAAGGTCAACCACGGAGCTCTATACTGATTTGCATAGAGGGAGATAGGGCAAAAATATTTTAATACTTATAGCATTTTTGTTTGAAATTTATATTTGTTTTTTCTTTTGTCTTATTGGGTTGGGTTAGGTTTACACACAGGAGGTTAGGTTAGCTCCTTCTGGTTTCTCTGGTTAGGTTAGTCATGTACCGGTACACTGATATTAGAGTCATTACCTAACCTAATGACTCATTAGGTTAGATTCTTATTGATCTTTTTCCTTGGCAAAAAATTAATTCCTTCATTATTTTTGGGGTGTTCTTGATAAACTGAAGAACTTTTCTTCTTTTGAAAAGTTTTGTAACTCTTGTCTTTAACCCTGATACCTGTTCTTAAATACACTAATAAAATGTTTAAAGTTTTCTGTAATAGCTAGGTTAGGTTTCATCAGTTTTTATGCCATAATTTCCCTCTACTTCAAAACCCTGCCCATTTTGTGTGGTAAAAGTTGCATTTTGTAAGTGAAATAGGAGTAAAAAATAAAAAACTTGAAAAATTAAGAATTTTTTGGCTCTATCTCTCTATATACAAATCAATATAGGGTTCCATGGTTGATTTTCCGAATTTATAAAAAAATAAATTTTAGAATATGAACAGAAGAATGGGTCTTTAACTATATAAAAAAAAAAAAAAAGTTGAGGCATCACTGAACAAGGGAATAAGCAAAACATCCATGAAAAAGTATACAATATTTGTGGTGCAAGCAAACCATCTGTATCAGACTGGATAATCTGTTTGACTATTTTTCACTTGCAAGTTCTGAGGTACAGGTACTGTACTGTATTTTAAAATTATAACAAGTGGTCTATAAGGTTCAAATAGAAGTTACCATTGTTAGGTTATTCATGGGATAACATATAACACAGACTGAGATTGGCTGTATAACATTTTTAGCTCTAAGCAGTGTGAAACCTGATACATTAATGAAACTTTCCAGAACTCACGAATGATTGAAATACAGTAAACCCTCGTTTAACTGACCTACAGGGAGGAAAGGTGGATCAGAAAAGCCATAAAGTCATATAACCGAGGTACTGTACCAAAAATACGTTACTGAGCATTAGATAATGACTTGAGTTAGGTAATAATCATACATGTTAGTACAGGGTACAAATACTGTATATATATAAATACAGGTACAGTATACAGTACTGTAGTGTAATACAGAAATAACAATACGTATAGTACAATCATCTTACTCTCACTCACCTGCCCATTCGCTTTCTTTCAGTCGTAAACAAATTAGCTTACTACAGTACATCCTTAGTATAACTAAAGCTGCCTCCCGAAAGTTGGGGATGCTGTACAGATGCCGCAGCTACTTCACTCCTGAGTAGTTGCTCCAAGTACAATATATAAGGGATTTATTCGTCCTAACTTTGAGTACTGCTCTCATATCCAGGGTGGCTCTTCTTCTGTCCAACTATTAGATAGGGTGGAATCAATGGCATTTCGTCTTATTAACTCTCCTCTTTTAGTGGACAATCTCTCTTCCCTTTCTCTTCGCCGCAATGTTGCTTCACTCTCTCTCTTTTACAGGTACTTTAACGGGCAATGCTCGGTGGATTTGGCATCCTGTGTACCGCCGGCAAGGCCGTGGGTTCGTAACACACGTCTTGCCCGCGGTGCCCACCGTTTCTCTGTGGATGTCGGTCACACGAGAATAACTCGTTATAGTACCTCCTTCTTTCCTCACACAGCCAAACTGTGGAATGCTCTGCCTTCTTCTGGGTTTCCATGCTTACAATCTGTCTCACTTTAAAAAGCTGGTTTTCCGGCATCTTTGTGGTGTAGATTAATACTGTATAACCTTTTTTTTTCTATACAGTATTTACAATTTCTGTTCTTTCCCCCAGGCTCACCTGTGCCTTACCACTCACCTGGACTTGCGATTGATGTTGTTCGGGGAACTGATGTCCGACTTTGATGTGCTGGGAATGCTTACACCTGGTGGTGTAGGCCCCACGGGAGGTGGGTCAGTTATTGAGGGTGTCGGGTATTCGAGGGTGTACTGTATGTGATAAAATTAAACACAAGATACACTGTATACTACTTGAAAACTTATGTGTTTCACCCACCTGCTGAAGCCAGGCAGCCACTTGCTCCACAGTCCACCTCTCCACATCATCTCTCTGAGGTACTGGTGTTGCCATTTCTTATCAACTTCATGGCACTCTTGACAGCACTCAGCTAGAGTACTTGTCAGATGGCAAAAGTACTAAAATCTCTCCAAATTCTCTGTTAATATTGAAATATGTCATTAATTCCCTAACAACTTCCTCAAGATTACCCATGCCTATCCTCCTCCACAGTAGGTGACTAAGTTAGGTTAGGTTCTATTAATCATGTTTAACCCCAAATTTTCTGGTACATTTGTAAAAGTTGCCACCAACAGAATTTCAGGATTTCTATCTTTGCAATCAATAGTTAAGACAATTTTAACATACACTTTTCTTCTATGACCTTTCCCTCACAACTAACTTAATCTCCTAATTGACCCCCCTGCTTATACATGTCGTTTATGAGGGAAACGTCACAGAAGAAAAGTGTCTTAGGATTGTCGCAACTGCCAATAGTAAAGAAGATTCCTACAATTCCTGTGTAGTCCAAATTTTAAATAATACCCTAGATTGACAGGGTACGAAGGGTCATAACTCAACAACTATGCATTTTACAAACCTTTCAATACCACCACTCCATTCAGCATGAAAATTTGCAATAAAAATATCTCTTTTTATGCTAAACCACATATCAGCACCAGTGTTTATGGAAAAAATTATCTCTGATTTGACAATAAAGTAAACCTGGAGCAGTTGGCTAACACCAGAATGCATCGTTTGATTTCATTCATTTTTTCCACAGAGGTTCTTTGGATGATAGTAATAAGCAATACAATCATGCACAGAACCTGACCTAACCTTACTTAACTTCCTAGCTGGGGGGCTCTGCATTGTCTCCTGAATGTATCTGAACCTGCTCCAGTGCTTGTCAAATCTGATCTTGAAAGAGCTCATACTCGGTGCCATCACAACACTCTCTGGCAGACTATTCCAAGAATTCACAACTATCACCCCGAAAAAGTTTGCCCTCACGGTTTTTTGGGCTTGCGGCTTCTTCAACCTTGAGCTGTGACCCCTTGTGGGGTGACCATCTGTCAGTTCCAGTGAGTAGTGCCCTTTGAGATGTTTATACACCTCAATTAGGGCTCCCCTAGCCCGTCTGTAGTATAAGCTAGGTAATTTCAAGCGCTCTAATCTCTCAGGGTAGCTGAAGTGCCGTAGTGCAGGCACCAGTCTGGTGGCCCTCCTTCGGACATTTTCAATCAACTGACAGTCCCTAGCATATCTCAGGGACCAGACAAGGTGACAGTACTCCAGACGGGAAAGCACTTCTCTCATGAAGATCGTTACGAGGGACGGACCGTCTAGATATCTGAACGACCTTCTTATAAGACCTAATAATTTAGTTGCCTGATTTACTTCTTCTCGCAATGGCCCGAGAACTTCAGCTCATTGTCAACATACACACTCATGTCCTTTTCAAATTGTCTCCATTAATGCAGTTTCTTCGTCCCGTTGAGACATACAATACGCCTCCTTACCGTTGGTACATCCCAGGTGCATCCTCTTACACTTCGCGATATTGAATCATAGCACCCATTTTTTTGACGATTCCTGAAGCTCACAGAGAACATTCTGCAGCTTTTCACACTCTGCTTGGTTCTTAACTTCCCGAAATAACTTGGCGTCATTCGCAAACATTTGTATGGAGGAATGTACAGCGTCAGACATGTCAGTTATGAAGCAAATAAGCAACAGCAAACTTAGTCGAGTGTCCTTACTTGGAGCTGGCGGACGCCCGCCCCACAAGGGGTCACAGCTCAAGATTGATGAAGCCGCAAGTCCAGAAAACTGTGAGGGCAAACTTTTTCAGAGTGAGAGTTGTAAGCTCGTGGAACAATCTACCAGAGAGTGTTGTGACGGCACTGAGTGAGAGCTCCTTCAAGAAGACCAGACTTGACCAACACTGGAGCGGGTTCAGGTACATTCAGGAGCCGGTGCATGCCCAGTATTTGCCAACAGTGCGTGACAGAGACGTGACCAATCGCCCGGGCAGCTAGCAAGCCGATCTTTTGGTGAAGAGGATAAATGAAAAGGAAGTGTAATCAGAGACGTGACCGATCGCCCAAGCGGCTAACGAGCCGATCAGTGGCGAAGAGGATAAAAGTAAGTAAAAATACACTGCCCTGTGGTACCCCGCTTTTGACGGGTAAACATGATGATTTCGTGCCATTAATCACCACACACTGCTTGCAGTCATGAAGAAAGTCTCCGATCCACACTAGGACATTTCCCCAAATCCCGTACGCTTCCAGTTTAATTTTTAGCCTTTTGTGGGGTACACTGTCGAAAAAATTGGCAAAATCTAGGTATATAATGTCGATATTACCACCCTGTTCCAGAATTTGGGTCCAAATAACCAGTACCTTGAGTAATTGTGTTAAGCAGGAGTGCCCCGGCATAAAACCGTGTTTTAGGTTAGGTGGGTTAAGCTAGGTTAGGTTAACTTAGCTAGAACTTTTAAATAAAAATCTTTTAACACACTTACTTTAACTGTGACAGTGTCCACAATAAAACATTGTGAAATTGCGATGTTTTTAAATTCGTTTTACATGAAAAATCAGCGGCGGGTCAGTCATCAAGAATTGCCTTCTACACTAATAAATAAAAAGTTGTCATTTGGTTTTTATTACTTACTATCAACCAAAGAAACATAAGTGAAACATATTAACGAAATCAAACAACTACCGTCCGTTCCAGTGTTACCGACAATAAATATGAAAATGGCACCAAGTAATAATGATTTCCTTGCTTGCATGTTATACCATAGTATCCTTTATTTCTAAAGTTTTTTTTTTATCATGTCACTGCACCAGTGACGTCTATACCATGGATGTAATCGTTATGCAGTCTTCAAATGACAATACAATCACAAAACGTGAAGATGTGGTTTAAACTCCTCCACGTAGTCGTGCCCTCCATACCCAATTAACAACAAACATTAAATTTACAAAACATACGTTTAAATAAGCAACAAAACTCTACTATAGTGTGTCCTTTTTCATATATTATCTAAATACTTTACCACTATAAAACTCACGGAAATAAAAATTAACTTAATTTTGGAAATTTTATGTTAAACTTTATACTTGCAAGACTCACGTCTACCTCGCGCCACAGCTCCTCTGACACTGTCTGACGTCTCGAGTCTCGACGCCGAAGGTCCTCAGGACTTCAACCTCAATTCCTCAATCCCCAAATTCCTCAACGTCTTTAGTTTCAACAAAAGTGACGTAAAAAAAGTATTTTCACCAGAATCATAATTAGTTACTTAAACATTGATTTATATTGTAAGTTACAAAGATTTTAATTGCGTACATAATTATATGTTTCACTTTCATCAACATTCTTTAATTATTGCGCTGCTACTGATACCAAAATAATAACAATAATAATAATTGTTTACATAATTATATGTTTCACTTTCATCTACATTCTTTAATTATTGCGCTGCTTTTATCTTCTTAACCAAATGATCGGCCTGTTAGCCGCTTGGGCGATCGGTCACGTCTGTTACGCGCTGTTGGCAAGGACTGGGCATGCACCGGCTCCTAAATGTACCTCTCGTCTTTCACATGTAAACAAGATACTGCCACAAACGCGTGTTGTTTCCATAGTTTCTTTACCACACACACACACACGACCGACCTTAGTGATGGGTTATAGTGGTTCCTTCATTCCCAATGATGATTCACGGAGTCGACTGGTGTACGTCAGAGGATGAGAAGCATGGTGACATCCGCACCATTTAACTTCCAACCTTTGAACTTTAACATTTTGGCCTTTGGTGGTTTTCTTTCTCGAAACTGGGGGCTGGTGGTAGAAGCGGTATCGCTCTTGCCTCGCAAGCAATATGTCACGGGTTCGATTCCCGGGCCGGTGGAAGTTGTATGGACATACTTCCTAGTCCCCATTAGTCCCTGTTCACCTAGCAGTAAAGTAGGTACCTGTTGTAAGTCGAAAGTTGCGAATTCGTATCGTATTCAGGGAGTTGTTGGAGCTTCCAATAACTTGATGACATAAGCCATTGACTCTCCAGGCTTCTACGCCCTTAACTCATGAGACATAAAGGCAAGCATGAACTTAGCATGTAGGGGGGTGCCCAATAAATAATAATAATAATAAATAAAAACCTTAGCCTGACCTAACCATATGCCTATCTCCCGCTTCAATACTATAAGGTAACTATGAAGTAAGTCTACCATAATATATTGTTTCGCTATTTATTTATTACAAAATATGATGACTGTGTAGATTACCTGACTCCATTCCATTCTTTCTCGTTACTACTTTCTTCCCTTCCCCACTACCCTTCACCACTTTCCTCCCCTCCCCATTACCCTTCACTACTTCCCTCCCTTCCCCACTACCCTTCACCACTTTCCTCCCCTCCCCATTACCCTTCACTACTTCCCTCCCCTCCCCACTACCCTTCACTACTTCCCTCCCTTCCCCACTACCCTTCACCACTTTCCTCCCCTCCCCACTACCCTTCACCACTTTCCTCCCCTCCCCACTACCCTTCACCACTTTCCTCCCCTCCCTGCTTCCTCCTCCCCAGCCCTTCACTGCTTCCCTCCCCACAACCCTTCACTGCTTCCCTCCCCTTCCCCACTACCCTTCACTGTTTCCCTCCCCTCTCCACTACCCTTCACTGCTTCCCTTCCCTCCCCACTCCCCTACACTGCTTCTCTCTCCTCCCCACTACCCTTCGCTACTACCATTCTCTCCCCACTACCCTTCACCACTTCTGCCCTCTTCTCCCCACTACTTTTAACCATTTTCTCCCCTTATCATATACACTTCAGCCTCCCCATTAACCTTCGCTCCCCATCGAGCACTATGCCACCCTGTTCCCTCCCCAATCTTCCTTCCCGTGCCACTCCTCTCTATAGTTTCTTTCCCTGGTGGTTAACACTTCACACCTTCCCCTCCTGCCCTGCCCTGCCCACCTCCGGGGATTCCTTCTCCTGGGGCCTTGGAACGATGTCTTCAAACAGCGTCTCTCTTCTCCCAGTTTCCAAGACAACTTACCGTAGGAAAAATCATGATATCGTAAATATAACTTAACCCGTGTTGATAGAAACTTATACTTTTATACTGCATAGAAATATAAGTTGTATTCGATTACATGAAGATTAGCCTCCTTCCCCCCTTCCAGGGTTATTTCAGTTGATGATTAAATATCCTAACGCTACCTTGGAGGTTAGGTTAACTTAGGTTAGTTTAGCGTTATGGTGATTTATCATACGACGAAAAAAGAAAGGGAGCTAATCTTTATGTTATGAATCTCATTTAGCGAAATATATTATGTACCGATGTTAATCCTTTAGTAAATTGAACCTATTGTTATAGTAACAGCCAAGATGACCTCACGATATAGGCAGTATACAGTAATGAAAACCAAACCTAATCTAACCTAACCTAACCCACACCACCTGTGACTATGTTAAGTGACACAAGTTCCACATCTCCAGTTCGTGTTTGCCCGACGAGTGGTTACATTTACTTTCTTCTTCTTGAAAGGCTTTGTTAATACGTTACGCTCACTAAATACTGCCTAAGGCTCCCCGGTTCAAAATTAGTTCCTACCGAACGATGGTCTATAAATGGGTAAAAAAGAAATACGAAGCGATGCCATTTCTTTTAATTAAATCCTTATGAAATTAAGTTAAGTTTAGGTAGTCATATCTAGAAATTTACAAATTATAATAATTTATAATGCTAAACTCAGAGCAATTATGCAAGTCAAGCTGGATAATTAATAGATAATTTGCAAGCCTGCCAGCGACATGCACTAGTAGCAAGTTGAGTTCTTACCGGTTTTGTACACTGTCCATTTTCTTTAAT